GTGTCGCCGGTATTTTACAATATTTTTTTCCCCGATATATGGGCTCAATTAAATTAGAGGTTTTTAGTTAGGGGTTGAAGTAAATGTTCCGCTCCGCTCTAAAATAAAAAAATTAATATTTGCCGCGTAATCGGCCCCCACCCCACACAGCTCTTACTGACAATACAATAGTTTCATGGTTTACCTACGCTTCTAAAAACCTGGATAATCTGGGAAAACATATAATACTTGGTCGGGAAATGTTCACAAAGTCCTCGAATTTGAATAAAATAATTTCGTTACACCCTCGACTTGTCTATTTCATTGAATAATTTTACAATTTAATTTGTCATTAGGTTTTGACTGTTTCAAGTTGCTAATAGATGACATCTAAATAATATATTCTTTCGATTTTATACATACGGTTACACAGGTATTGTAGTATCGCGAACAATGTTAAATAAATAAAAGTTTTAAAACAGTACGTTAAATTAAAAACAAACGAAATCGACGGAAATATTATTTACTACGGTGTAATCCGTTCTGGGGAAAGTCGAGGAAAAGGGACACGGCGGAAGCCTTGAATTCACACTTTTCAACCGTACTAATATCAAAACACGATCGTAATGAAAGTTAATTTAAAATAAAAAAAAAAAAAAAAACGGTGATAACGGTGCGTGATAATCGAGAGGACTAATAAAATTCTTGGGAACTATTGCTAAGCTCCTGTACCCCTACAGGTTGGACCTGTGTGTCACCCACCGGCGGCCACTATTTTTATTTTTCACACACTAATATCGATTATAACATATTATAAGTAGTTTTTAAGCGTACCTATTGTCTAGCGTCTATATGCATGTATTATTGTTATAATATTATACCGAGCAGAGATCAACCGCGCACACTCGTCGTATATTATATTATATGAGCATTATTAATGTTAAAAAAAAAAATTAAAAAAATATTGTATGATATATTATAAATACCGATATATTGCCAACAGAATATTATTATTTTATAATATGTAAACTGCTATACAATAACAATATAATTATAACATCACAACGACGCCGACGATAACGCGAGTCTTACAATTGTTTTTTTTTCTCGATATAACAATAAGTACATTTATACGTGTTTTTAGACATATACCTATATAATGTTATTATTATCCTATTCGATGTCAAACAATAAAAAAATTGTTTTTTTTTTTCAATATATAAATACATTTTATTTATTATATTCTATGCGTGTGTGTGTGTGCCTAATTATTGTATTTTAGCGGATATAAATTATAAAGAACGACTCGGCGCGTGTTCGAAAAATATCACAATTTATAATATTATACCTATTATACTGTAGTAGTGTGTTGCTAATTTATTATTATACTATTATTATTCAAAATACAAAAAATATTATATTAAACGATTTTTAAAGGTCCGAAATGTTTTGAACGATATTGTCGTTAATCCGGCAATATCGTGTTTTTTTATAATTCGTTATTGTACTTAAAAAATGTCAGCTGTTCTGCATTTTATCACGTCCGACCGATGACATGAATAGGGTTTTTTTCGTATGGGAGATCAGGATCGAGTAATTATCTCGATCCGTCTCTGAGTAGCCAAAGACCTACAAATGTAATCGTGCAAAATACATTTCGAAAAGCGCCGATAACTATGGTTAGCGTCGGTTTTTGGGTCTGTAATAATTTAGTATTCGTTCGGTTTGGAAACCGAATTTTGGTCCAAAACGAAGTGATCATATGCTTAGTTTTTAAAAGAAGTCTGACCAAGACCTGACCTTAATATAAGGCTCGACGCCACTGCTGAATAATTTGAACGGCTGAACCTATACAGTCCATGTGACAATCTTCTGTCTTCTTCTTCTTCTGGCATACCTACTCTTTAAGAGTTTTTGCCGCCATTACTACTCTACGCCATCTGCCTCTGTCTTGAGCTGTCTCTCTCCATTCTTCAATTCCTAGGATTTTTAGGCCCTCCTACATCTACATCCATCTTTTCCTAGGTTTTTTTCCTTGTGGTTTCCATTACAAAGCAGCTCTTACTATTTCGTTTTCTCCTCTTCTCATTATATGACCAGTCCACGTAACAATACAATTTATAATAATAATTAAGCCTGTGGTGGATCAAGGGTCAAAAGTCACTGTAAGGTCCGAACTGTAGTTCGATTTTTACTCGTATTGTGGTAAGCTATACCGATTTTCATTGATGCAAATGATTTTGCCCCACCTTCTTTCACATTAAGGTCTGGATCCTCTTGAATTACATAGCATTAAAAAAAAAAAAATGCGCCACTAGCAAATAGACTAAACAGTCCCCTTTTAGACTATTCCCAGTTACTCCTTTCCCCACTAGTGAGATTATTTCCTGACTTCTGCAATTTTCAATCTTATAATTGGTTTGCAACAATTTCCATGCCTCTTTTATGGTTTGCTTTTCTCGTTTCCTAATATGAGTTACCTACACATTCTGATCATCCATTATCTAGTCCTTTGAGAATATGACCTATTTATTAATTTCCCATTTTTATGATGGTTATTTTTCCACCAAATGTGTACCTTCCTCTTTTCTACTATTACTCGTTTCTGCCAAAACAATTTCGGTATTTACTAGTTGCGGTCAAAATCAAAAAAAAAAACATACTAGTTACGGTCACTTAAAAAAAATGTTACCTACTAGTTGCGGCCCCCCCAATAAAAAGTTTACCTACTAGGTACTAAACATTTTCCTTCCCATTTATAACAGACTTAAATGATGTGCTCTAAAATTCATTAAGTTAAGTTATGGAATAATTCGAATATTTTAACACGTGATCGTAATTCGGAGATACACTATAAATGGTGCGACCGCAATTGTTATGTCTGCTCATCTTAAAAATCGCCAACGACAGCAACACGTCCACACCAAGATTTAGAGACGTTAAAGGCCCCAGAGCCAAACTTTTTAATGAGGCTCTCGTTGAAAGACTAATAATGTACAATTTTTCAAAATATATCATTATGTTTTTTAAAAAAAAAAAGAAGAATAAATATTAGGTATAGACATCATATAGATCTCAATTCAAATGTCACAAGTATCATTTAAATAAATAAATAGGTATATTATTTTTGATAAAGTTACTAATAGTTTCTACTGTACAATAATACGAATAACTAATAAGTAGGGCAGAGAACTTGTAGCATTTGCATATTTTTTTTTTGCACATTGACTAAAGTAGCAGAGTACGAAACAAATTCGTTTCATGCTTTCACAAAGCCAGTTTTAAAATTGTATCCTGCATACAAATGCATATTTCGATTTTTTTTATTTTAGGGCATATTTCTTCCATTTTATATTTACCTTAGAAGCATATTTTAAATAATTTATCATTTTATCATTATATTTCTGTCGATGTTTCAATTTCATCTCACATACATCTAATATATTGTTGAATTTAAAATTAATTAAATTTGTATTGTATAGGTATTATGATTGTTTTATAATTGTTTTTTTTTTTTTTTTTTGAAACATGTCTCGAGGGTCACCGATTAGATTAATTGCATTTAATAACAATTAACACAAACAACTTTATTTTTCAGAATCAGTAGAATTTTCAAGAAATCAAATTTTATTAACAATTTTGTAAAAAAATAAATATGATGTATACCTATATGTTTCTAACCTGTTTTTCTCAATTATTATCCAAACGGTTAAAATACTCGAAAATCAATTTTCTTCATCGCCAACTAGATATACAATTTAGAAAAAAAGACCTCTTGTCTTTTTTTGATTGGGTCAAAAAAAATATCAGTAAAACTAATAAAAAAAATTACAGTGACGTCAATCGACACAACCGGTTAAAAACACTTATTCAAAACTAAAATAATTGTGATACCATCTTTGTTGGTATAATAATTAATATATATGTAAAATGCGGTTATTACCGGTAAAACAGGTATTAACCGTATACCGCGTACCGGTAACGAAAGTTCAAATACGGTTGGTCCTGGGTGAAATGCATACATAAAGAACACGGTAACTGTGGAGAAAACTGAGACCCCGGGAGTCCATAATGACCCGGGGGGCCACCATGGCGCTCCCTGGACCCACTCTGAATCCGGGATTTAATTCGTCGTATCGGGTCAAGGATATTACACGAAATAATACCGTTGCGATAACTATTGTACGTTTATGTCGACGGCTGAAAAAAAAAAAAAACACGGACATACTTCGCACGACGGGTGGGCCACTGTCGTTGGTGAGAAATTGGAAAGTTAGGATACAGAGTGGAATTTAATGCTTATTTGTACGTAACCGATTGATCTTTGCCAACGAAAAACGATTCTGGGCGGAGTTCGGTTTTAAGAGGCCGTAATATTTACTATTATATTTCGTACGTTTTTCCCGTTTGTTGGGAACACTAAACTGTGAAAATCAAAATAAAAACGACCCCTCCAAAGTGCCACGACGGTCGGATTTCCTTTCGGGAGAAAGCGTTAAACTTGAAAATCGCCGGTAGAAAAGTTGTTCACGGAAAAAAAAAAAATAAAATAAACGCCATTGTAAAACCAACACGATCCTCGCTCCGCTCAGCAGTAGTGTACCGACAGGGCGGCATGACGGTCAACGAGCCACGGGCCCGTGACGTTTAGGGGTCTGAAATCGGGTCCCAAGGCAATTTTTTTCGGTGCACGGACAGATGAATAAAAAGACCAGACGATGACCGTTGTTTTGCCCATTGAGCAACACGGGTGGACGGACATATGTACGAAAACCGACTCCAAACTGCGTGAATCGGGAACCCAACTCGAACAGTGGCGCTTGGCCGGGGCTAGCGGTTATTATTGATGATTTTTTTTTCTTCGCTTATCGGCCTTATATACGAAGCCTCAATGGGCAATTCGGAATCTGTGTATCTTTTGTCAATAGCCTTTTCTTTTTTCTTTTTTCATATAATTTCCGACCGTAAACGGCCGTTATTAGCGTTATTAGCCCCGCGCACCGCCGGCCCTGCGCTTGAACCGTAATACGGTTAACCTACACAACGTTTCGAACGCGGGCATCGGAAGTTCATGTTGCGCCACTGCCGCTCAGAATCTAAAATGAAACACGAAAAACGACGAAAACGTCTGCCGTAACGTAACGTAACACCGACGACCGCCGTCGAAACGAACGCTGTTAATTGTCACGTCGACTCGCCCAACAAACTCGATTATCTAATCGGCCGCCGATTAGGCAATTGAGTGTATTCGATTTCCTCAACGACTCTCGGGTCCGCGGGTCGCATTCGCGTGACAATATGTGACAAAACGGCACGCGAGCCGACCGTCGCGTACCGCGAATTAACATCGGATTTACTGCTCGCGCGCGCGCGCGATTTACGCAATCGACACGCAACGCGAATGTTACCGGATCGTTGGCGTCGGTCCGGTTCGGTAACGACCGCGTGCGCGTCAGCAGTGCGCCGCGGTCCCCCCCCCGGACGGATTGTTTACGCGATTTCGACTCGTCGGACGGACGCGGGTCACGAAAACCGGTTGAATCCTCGGCCCGGCGGTGGCGGCGATCGGCCGCGCACGGGCCACGGGTTCCCGTCCCGACCCGCGTCGTGAGAGACGTTCAGGTGTCGCGCGACCGTCGTTCCGAACAGCCGTCCCCGCGCGCGTTACCGTCACCGTCCGCGAAACTCCTCCGTTCCGACGCGTGTTCGCGGGACTCCGTGGTGCGCCGATCCCGGTTGAAAAATACTATACACGAGGAGTCGGTCGGACGCGTAAAACGTGAGTACAATACCGTCCGGTCGGGCGAAACACGATAATTCGAGACGCCCGTAGACGCGACTGCGTGGTAAGGGGATGGGGGTGGGGGTCTTGCATCTTATTTCGTCCGCCGTCCGAAAAACGGAAGTTCGGCGGCGAAAGTCACTTTTCAGAGCCCGCGGTTTTCCACCGACACCGAACGGCGTACCTCCCGACGGACGGCCGGAGACGGTCTCCGGTTGCTCCGGTCGGCGGTCGGGTTCGGTCCGCCGCCGTTCTTGTAACACGCGGCCGAACAACCTCGCGGGATCCTCTGCTCACATCACCTCTCCCCCCCCTCCCCCCGAAAAGCCCCCAACAAGACGCGTTTTGTAGTGGGCGTAGCGTAAAGTTATGCGTGTCCGTAACCGATTGAAAATACAAATTAAACACCTAATATGCGGACAACGCGTGCGCGTGTAAGCAATTGAAGGAAGTTAAGAGTTACGATACATTTTTACACAAATAAAACGTGTTGTTTGTTCGAGTATTGTGTGTGTCGTACAAGGGGCGTTACGGGGATGTTGCCTCTGCGGGGCTGCGACGTGTCTACAGTTTTATCACCCCCTCCCCACCCCCGGATTGGCGGTCTAGTTGCGCCCGCGAAGACGCCCCCTTCCCACCCAGTATACCTAACAACCCCCCCCCCCCGTTCACGAACGACTTAATGGTACGAAATAAGAATTCCTACGTGGCTCCGCATCAAGTTTCAAACTACTGATTACGTTTGAGTCAAATTGCTGCATGAGCAGTTCTGTCTGTCCGCGTGGAAAATTTCCTCGGCCATGGATCGTTTCCCGAGCGGTTTTCATTGAAAAATTGCGGAAAACCGGGGGAGAAAAACAGCCGAATACGACCGGGCGTTACCCGGTTTCATATTTTGTTTTCAAATTTTTGGTTTTTATTTTATTTTTTTTCCTACCGGAAGTCCGAATATTTCATAAGAGCGCCCCGTTTTCCGAATGAAATATTTGTTTATCGGGCGGGGGCAACGTGAGAGAGTTTATGGAAACGACGGTTTCATTATTTTCAGGTTTTTTTTTTTTTCCTATCAAATAACTTCCATCTGGCCGGCTTGAGACCTACAACGGTACGTACACACACTCGCCGGCAGTATCGGATCTTTTTCCATCCTCGTGTAGTTCGCTGTTCGTTTCTTTGTTTTTTTTTTTTTATTCTCGAACACGAAGCGCGTTGGTCTCTCCCCGTCAGTACCCGGCCGACGGACTCTCGGTTATTTTAATACGCCCAACCGTGTACGATTTATTCCCGGAATCGACGCCGGCGCGATAACATTGAATTATTGCGACGACAGTCGAAACCCGACGTTTATCACCAGTATAGACCGCAGGCATAATGGACCGAATGATTGTGTCCGCAACGGACCGATTACGTTTGTAACGTCCGCGTAAGAAAAACGAATCGGATAAAAACGCCGATAAAAATTGCGTTTGGGTCCGTCGTACCGTTTTTATCGTCGCGAAGATAATAATTAAAAAAAATCCGAACGAACGAGTAACCCGTGGTTTTTTTTTGTTGTTGTTATTATTTCGTGTCGAACACGAGAAAATCAAACGCGCCCAGCTAACGTTACGGACGCCGAATAGCAATTCGTACAGACGCCCCGGGCGAGTAACGATTTTTTTTTTTTTTTTTTATTCCGCGCTCATTCCGCGCGCCCCCACGCGATAACGACAAACGACGGTTCCGGATTTCCGCGTCGTCGTTACAACCGTACAATTGTTGCGTTTTTTTTTTTTCATCCGCAGAATGGTTCCGGCCGCGACCATTTTACTGCTTTGGACGTGGACGTTGGCGAGCTTCACCGACGGGCTGGACAACGGACTGGCGCTGACCCCGCCGATGGGATGGCTCGCGTGGCAACGGTACAGGTGCATCACGGACTGCGAAACGTACCCGGACGACTGCGTCAAGTTAGTACGGTTTCGCTGAACGAACAACCAAACGACGTCCGTAGATTCGTTTCGGACGGCCCCGCCCCGTCGACAATCATTGTTACGTTGCTCCCTTAACGACTCCCCCCCTCCCCCCCGGGGGGGCCAAAGTCGATGCCATTAAAGCGGTTCTTTTTTGTTTTTTCCCCTTTGTCAACGCGACTGAACGCTAGCTGGCCACCGGTTTCCAAATCAAAATGTTTACGCTTTCGCCCGCAGCCCTACGTTTTTATGATAGATCCGCGAATCCGGCCTCGTTTCGTTCTCGGTAACGTCAAACCGTTGTACGAACATCTGACGTGCCGCCCGACGGTGGCGCGTTTGGGGTTTCGCCGTGCGGGATGACACTGAACTCTGACACGTATTTCATAGTAATATGCGCCTACCTACAATATTAAATCTATACAATTTTTATGACAGCGATTTGTTAATACTATTAATCGTTGAAATATTAAAGCAATTATTATTATTAATTAGCCAATCAATTTTACGTAAACTGTTCTGAAAATAAGGAAACGAAGAATATCGTTTGTATCAAAGTGGTTCGGATCGGTTTCGGTTTTTGACGAGGAAACGTACTTGCTGTTGTTTTTTTTTTTGATTCATTTACATTGTGCCAACACGTTTTTGATTTTTCTGACGAAGAGGTAGGAAATTCGAATTTAAAAAATTGGTATACGTTCGAATAATGGCTTCCAAAACAAACGTCAATGGGGAAACTTATATCCACATCTTAACGCCGCTGGTACCCAACAACATATTATGTCAACTGATTTAGGGATGTTTTAGTCCGAAATCTGAATTCGAAGAGTATGTATACACGGATTCGAGCTTTTCAATAAAAGTTGTTTATTTTTTTAACCGAGCAATATTCAAAATGGCTAGTGAATAAAAAATGTACAATTTTTTTCATTAATTGATAATAGCCAACTATTTAAAATACAATCTTTACTGTGTACTATTTATGAACTGTCTTCACTAAACATCATATAGGTTGATTAAACAAATATGCCGATAAACTACAGAAACAATTTGAATTAGAATAATACAAATATTAACATTTCCAATGATTACCCTAATAAGTTTCTTTTTGACAATTAAAATTGTTCACAGTGAAAAATTGTTTATGCAAGCAGCAGATTTATTGGTTAGTGAAGGTTACGCAGAATTGGGCTATAAATATGTCATTGTTGATGACTGCTGGTTAGCCAAAAACAGATCGGCCGATGGGAAATTAGCAGCAGACCCGATCAGGTTCCCAAGCGGTATTAAAGCATTATCAGATTATGTGAGTACTCCTGAAATATTGTTGATTTTTAAGTTAAATTAATTCAATCGCAATGGTTTGCCAATAGGTGCACGGTAAAGGTCTTAAGTTTGGGTTATATGAAGACTGGGGCACTAAAACATGTGCAGGATATCCAGGTGTCTTGGGACACGAAGAGTTGGACGCAAAAACATTTGCCGAATGGGATGTAGATTATGTTAAACTGGACGGTTGCTATTCAAATGTTAGAAAAATGGATAAAGGTAACATTCAATAATAAATATAGAAAGTCTTTAATGTTCATATCAATTACCTGTACTATAGGATACCCTGAATTCGGAAGACATTTAAACAACACGGGGAGACCAATGGTGTATTCTTGTAGCTGGCCTGCTTATCAAGAAGAAAAAGGAATGCTGGTAAGGGTGTATGAACTCAATATATTAATGTTAATATCTACTAAGAAAAACTGTTTTAATTTCATTATCAGATTAACTACGCCTCGATGGCTAAACATTGCAATCTTTGGCGTAACTACGATGATATTGATGATTCGTGGGAAAGTATGATTAAAATAGCAGATTATTTTGCACAAAAACAAGAGTTTTGGGCAAAATATGCTGGACCTGGACACTGGAATGATCCTGACATGGTAAAAATGTGTGACTAAAGAATACAGATATGTATTTTGAATGTTTATTTTTTAGCTTTTAATCGGTAACTTTGGGTTGACATATGACCAAAGCAAAACACAAATGGCAATTTGGGCTGTGTTAGCCGCGCCATTACTCATGTCTAATAAGTTAAAAGAAATTCGCCCAGAGTTTAAAGAAATTTTACAAAACAAAGAAATTATTAAGGTCAATCAAGATGCTCTTGGTATACAAGGCACTAGAGTGTTTCGGGTGCGATTGTTTTTCAGTAATTAAATTCACATTTATACAAATTAAATATTAATATAAATGCTTTTTAGGACAAGGGTATCGATATTTGGTCTAGACCGATTGAACCAGTTTACAGTGGATACTATTCTTATGCAGTGGCATTTGTAAGTCGCCGTGTAGATGGTGCTCCTTATCCGTACAACATAACATTAGAAGATTTAAATCTAACTAATCCTAATGGCTACAAAGTTATTGTAAGTGTTAATATTTATTTAAATTTGTATTACGCAATATTGTATATTTACATTAATCATTTATCTATAACATAATTGTATTATGTATTTAAGTAATTTATTAACTGTGTGATTTTAGAATCTTTTTGGAAAAGAAAGAGATTTATCTTGTACTTTTAGTCCAAATTCTACATTGAAAGTTCGAGTCATTCCTTCAGGTAATAATATATTTTTTATTTTGAAATAAAACTAAGGGATCTGTAGTGTTAAATGCTGTTATTAACTTTTTGATTAAAACATCATAGGTGTTGTTTTCTTGAAGATTAAATCAATTTACCCAGGAGACCAGGAAAATTCAATTCAATCATGTGAGGAGTACAACAAAAAGTATTTCTACAAATAATATATTAAAATATCTTCAACACGAAACAAATAAATATTAAGCTTTAGGCTGTAAATATAAATATTTATATATATAAAAACTTGTTGGCTCAATAAAAAATTAAAATATACAATTTGTTCAGGATGGAAGTAAATTAACAATAAGTAACTAAACAAATCTGATTTATTTATTTAAGTTTTAAGATACATTATAAATATATGATTTATTGTTTATGGTAATTGTCACAATCAAAGTTCTTACTTGTTTCATATTTCTGGCACATTGGAATTCTCCGGCGAGTACATTGCCTACAAAAAAAAAATTATAATAATTATTAAATAATAAAAACATTTGATAATTATACACAATAGATATTCTGTTAAATCAAATAATTATAATTTCATCTAAACGAGTTGAAAAGTTAACGTTTGAATTTATTTAAAATATAATGTGTAGAGTACGGATGTTATTGCATTGGCAACTTTTTTTCTACCTTTTCAATTTATTGCTAAGTAAGTTCTAAAATGTTTCATGTAAATATGAATTCAAATCTACAAGTTTTATGTGTAATTTTTTTCAATTTTGTTGAATTTACTCATTTATACAATTATTTTAGATATAGTCGACACTCAACAATCGTATAGATACGATTTTACTACAATAATGCCAGCCATAAAATCTAATAATGATATTTTATTTTTATTTTGATAACTCCAAGTTTGTAGGTATTCGATGCAATACAAAAATAATTTATGAAATATAGCTATTATAATTGGTTCTTCAATTACTCTGTGAATTTTGAGTGATCGTGTTCTGTTATTGTTTTGTAAATATGCCGAAAATTAAGCAGACTATTTCTTTTTATGTAAAAAAATTGTTCGTTCTTAGTACGATTATTAATATTTATAGTGTAATTTTCAGTATTTTTTAGTGCAATACTGCAATCAATTTTAATAGTTTTTTTACTATTACAATATCCATGCTCTTATAATGTGTATGTATAATAATTATATTGCAAACATTAATGTACAAAAAGATTAGTATAAAAATTATCAAATTTAATTTGTCTATTATTTTTATATTCATAGTAACGATAATTACACGATCAGACAATCATAATCTTTACACCATTTTTATTTTATAATTACTTTCTACTATTTATCAATTAAACATAGCATGCCCTTTACACTATTTACTGGAATAATAATAACTTATGCTTTTACTATTTACCTTCAATTACATCAATAGGAGTAGGCAGAAGAAATACTGTTTGTTTCCAATGAGTAGGGGTACAGTACGGCGCTGTTGATAGGGTTACAGGATTCTCATTGTCAAATATCGAGTCAAAATATCCAACTATACCAGTCATTGAACTTGTTTTTTTTATTTTTAATTCAAATTCAATTTTAAAGTTTGTAGAATTTGTATCACATGTATACAAGTCGAAGGTACAAAGTTTAAATTCTTCAGTGACAATTCGATCAGCAGGTACAATTTCAACTTGAGCTTTATTTAAAATATCTGTTCTTAGAGATGGCATACGGAAACCATACACGTTTGACCAAAAACCCACTATTTCGTCATGTCTTTCTATAATTTTGCCATATAAAATAACAAATTAGTTAACATGAAAATTGTGAAATTGTAGGTAAATATTAAAATAAATACATTTAAACTGTATTATAATAAACATTAATACATAATACAATTTATGTAATTATTATTTAATAATTATGCTTACCCATATCGCTCACACCACTAATGAATAAGTTACACTCATTAGGTAACATGATTCCATTTGTGTCTAAATATTTGTCGCGTGCAAATATCAAACTATCTAACATGGATTCAAATAATAAAAAATATCCCATCCACTCGGAAACAATAGCATCAACTTTTTCTACAGGTAAGCTGACATCCTCAATTCTTCCTTTGATGGCTACAATAATATCCTCGAACCCATTTTCTCTATAATGTTGATTTTATATAAACACTAAAAATTATTATTATTGCTAATAAAAAAGATCTTTACTTAAAGTTGTCTACGGCATTATACAATACATCAGCTTCATCAACAGCAAAAACTTTAGCTGCCTGTGCCTTGGCCATAAACATTGACAGTATTCCACTACCAGTGCCCAAATCTAACACAGTCTTTCCATTATACGAATGTGCATTCATTAATATAGCAGAGGAATAACTTTCTGTCCGTACTTTATCCTAAAAATTATTAAAGGTTTAGTAAATTATATTATACATGATTTTAAATGTAATAAAACCGTGTTTATATATTTTTTTAAAACTTTTTTAGCGTAAAATTGCTTCTAAACTTCCTTATATTAGCACAGTCTATTCCATAATTAATCTGATGGCTATTCGAATAAATATCGGATGAGACATTAAGTAACAACAACACTGATTACACTGAATTATTTATGGATTTACCATTTTATCTTCACTGTTAGTAGGACAATATTACAATTGGATTTTTAATCATGAATTGAGGAACACAGATTTCTATCCAGTTAGCCATCAGGAATGAAATGGTATGTATTCAAAAAAATGTACACATTTAAATTGTAGATACCTTAAGCATTTCATAATGAATCTCAACACACGAATATGAAGCAAAATAACCTTGATCATCTTCTAAGTTCATTGTAGATGCTGTATTTATAGAATCTCCTGATCGAGTAGATAAAATATTTGTTAGTGTATTTTGCATTTGATTAATTTGCTCATGTGCATTAGCAAGTTCATTTTCTTTTAATTCTAGCTAAAAATGTTAAATTTTTCAATAATTATTATTTGAGTAAATAATACTTTAATAAGTTTTTATTTGCCTGTTGAGTAACTGTTTGTATTTTATTTTGTATATGATTAAAATGTTCAGAAGATAACGTAAATTGATTGTTTTCAAAATTTACAGTATAACCAGATTCTGATTCTTTATCTTCTTCAACTACATCGTCAATATCTAAATAATATAAGATAACATTTTATGAACAGTACCATATAATTTTTTATTAACTAAATTGTATGAATAATAAAATAATAAAGTAAAAACAAAATTATTAAAATGGTTAATACTCGTAAATAAATAAATAACAAATTTATATATTTATGTACTATACAAATTTTATGAATCAATACTTAAGCATTATTTGGTAGGTGGTATACTAATACACAATAGGTGTTATAAAATGTAGTTAAAAATAACTAATTGAAATGAAACATACATTTTGAGTTGGAAAATTGCTTACCAATCATTAGCCAAGGATCATCTTTTACAACTGGTGTTAGGTATTTATCGTCATTCCATGGTTGTACATCAGCATCAAAGATTGTACTGGGAATAAAATTGACATCTTCTTGCATTTGAGTTCTTGTGTAGTTGATACATTTTATATATGAATAAATATCCATATTATACTTACGTTTGGCATTGCCAATATCAAAACTATGGTCCTTGGTACAGTGAACTATAGCTTCAGATACATCATCATACAGTAGATCACAAAATAAACATTTGACATTATCAGAACCATTTTCTACCCAGTCCCCAAAACTGTGATCTGAATCTGAGTCTGCAGACATCTGGAAATATATAAAATTATTATTAATTTGTATACATTTCGTGGTTATTACATTTTTATACATTGTAAAATGTATAATGTATATAATAAATAAATACTAGATAAAATTTATTCTCTCTTTGTCAGAACTAATAAACATTTTATATTTATTACAAACAATAGAAAATTAATAAATAATTAAATTTAATCATTTAATATTTGACTTTTGAGACACGAGATAAAATGTCAACAAATTTAAAAAAAGCTTAAGACAACATCTTTTGGTATGCCCTTATAAATAAGAAATCTGTGATCAGGTTTTCGGTTTCACATTTTTATCTGATCTCAAAATCCAAAAGAATTATGTCAATATATTGGTAAATGCGAACATTGAAATTGTATCTAATTAATGTTGTTCAGAATTTATTGTTTTTTTTTTTATGCAAATCATCTATATTACTTTTAGATATTTTAACATTTTTTCTTAGTTCCCGAAGCGACGAGATAAGTCTGGAAAATACGAAAATCCAAAGAAAACCACGAAAATTACATGAACAAATTTAGTTTTAAACAGTTTTCGATTTGTTTACATGGTTTATCCCATTCCAAAAGCCAGTGATCAACCATCTAGTCAGTTGTATACTGTACGGAGTTTTGAGATAGTTTAATAATTATTAATTATTAATTGATAATGAGTAGGTATACCAAAATGTGAATTAGATTGGTAGGTACATTTTAGCAATCAAACGCAGAAAGCAGTTAAAACGAGATTACTAAATCGAAAATTGGTAAAACCAAAAGTGAATCAAATATAACACGAATATACTAAAGAAAATAACAATTAAATTACTTACGGTTATTTGATCATTGATGGTATTATTTTAACGGAGTTCTGGATAATTTATAAATCCAGTATCCAGGCACAAAAATTATTAGTAAAATTCAAAAATTCATAACATGTTTTTTAAATAGAGACATAACCAAAATGATAGTACGGTAAAACTGATAACAGCAGATTAGTGGAAGGGAAAAAACCTCCGGGAATGAATGTTGGAGAAACTGTACCTATATTGATTTTTTTTTATGTTATAAAATCGTGATATGAAACGAGAATCGATTTCCCTTTCCCCGGTTCGCCGCTACGCCATCGTAATGTGGTTTCACGATTAGTCATAGCCGGTAATTTATATTTTATGGGCACATCATTATTTATATAGTTCCTTTTTAGGCTAAGCTATTTCAATTATTAAACCGTGGACGTAGTGTTTGTTCATTGTGTGTACTTAATACGTGTTTTTTTTTTTTTTTTTACTGAACCATATGGCGGCTAGTTACAGTCGATTTAAACCGTTTATTACGATAAGTCTTGGTGCAGCTTGTGGAAGTTTGGCCACTTATTATGGTTTTACCAAAGGTCTGTTAAATGTTAACAAAGAACAAGAGTATTATAGTATATTCGAGAATAGAGAAACGAAATGGGATTTTAACTGGGACAGGTAAGCTTATCATTGCACATGAGTGTGTTGTAACTGTTGTTGGTGACAGCATAGTGTATCTTCTTAGTTCTTTCAAATGTTTATTGTGAATATTCTTGCTTTGCTAAACATCTGATTAATGTTTGACTGTTACTGGGGTGTGTTTTTAACATTTGCAGGTGTTAGCTCAACTTCAATAAATTAAGTGCTAAATAGTACTACTCATCTATCTTACTATAACATAAAATATTATATCCACTGCAATGGAAACGAAAAAACACAGTGGCCGTCAATGTTCGGCTAAGACGAAAAAAGAAAACATCCAAGTAATTGTTCGATGTCGGCCAATGAGTTCTAAAGAGGTTTCCAATGGGTATACTGAAGTTGTGAAAATAATTAAAGATGAAAATTCTGTTGCCGTTGCTGTACCGAAAAATGATGGTTCTGAGTATAAACAATTTACATTTGATTCGGTTTTCGATTGCAATTCTACTCAAGAAGATTTATATAAGAAAATGGTGCATCCACTTATTGAGTCTGTTTTGAACGGATTTAACGCTACTATATTTGCTTATGGACAGACCGGTACTGGTAAAACGTATACAATGGAAGGAGTTAGAGATGAAAAACTTCCTTTAACTGACCAAGAACATCGTGGTATTATACCTAGGACTTTCGAACAGATATTTAAAACTATTGAACAATCCAACAATAAACAATATTTGGTATTTTCTTCATATTTAGAAATATATCAGGAAGACGTTCGAGATTTATTAGAAGCAAAACCTAAAGGAAAATGTGAACTTCGTGAAGATAAAGATGTTGGTGTTTATGTAAATAATTTGAACAAATATATTTGTAAAAACGTTCAAGAAATTTTAAAAGTTATGCAAGAAGGTAACAAAAACCGAACAATCGGCGCTACAGATATGAACGAACATAGTTCTAGGAGTCATGCTATTTTTACAGTTACTGTTGAAATAAAAAGTAATACCGAACGTATTAGGGTTGGTAAACTAAATCTCGTTGATTTAGCTGGCAGTGAAAGGCAAAGTAAAAGTGGCGCAACTGGTCAACGACTCAAAGAAGCTGGAAAAATAAATCTTTCGTTGTCGACATTAGGAAATGTTATACATGCACTAGTAGAAGAAAATTCTTCACATATACCATACAGAGATTCCAAGCTTACTAGATTATTACAAGATTCATTAGGAGGGAATTCAAAAACTTTAATGATTGCCAATATTGGACCGGCTAGTTATAACTGGGATGAAACACTTACTACTCTGCGCTATGCTAATAGAGCTAAAAATATACATAATGCTCCTCGTGTTAATGAAGATCCCAAAGATGCTTTAATTAGACAATACCAAGATGAAATATCTAAGTTGCGCAATATTTTAAATGAAAAAGCATCCAAAAAAGTTAGTAAAAAAGAAAAGCAATATGATATGGAAAACCTTCAAGAACATACAAAATTTTTAGAAAAGCAACAGCAAGATTTAAATGAAAAACGAAATAATATACTTGAAAATAAAGATAATTTGTCAACTGATGATCAAAATAGAATGTTGTATGATATAGAATTAGAAAAAGCTAAAGTTGCAGAAGAAATGGATTTTATGGGATCATTGATTACTCGTATTCAATCTATGGAAAGCAGTTTGTTGAGAGGAGGGAAATCGATTACAGATCATTTGTACGAACAACAAAATCAAATTGATAAACGTAATAGAGAGATCCAGGAAGAAATAAAAATGGAGCAGGAATTAGCCAAGAATTTAGAAGAAATTGCTGGCTATACAGAAACAATAAGGGAAACCTATTCAACTTTATTGGAAGAAGTAGAAGCAAAACAAGCTAAATTTGACAAATTAATGGGTCTTTATCAGAGCCTTAAAGGAGAATTGAAAATTAAAGAGGAAGAACACTCAAATCAAAGAAGAGACATTGAGTCTAACCAAGAAGCAATGACAAGACAATTAAAACTCGGTAACATAATAATGTCTAATTTTATACCTCAAGATGAACTTCAAAATGTCAAAGATAGATTATACTATGATGATGATACTAACGAATGGCGCATGGTTAGTAATCAATTAGAAGGACATACACGAGGCTGCATCAATGGTGTAATAAATACCAGAAGAAATGAGAATTTAATAACGTTAAATTTGCTTACGCTTGAACATAAATTAGAAGAATATAAAAAACCAGAAATTTCACCTTCATTATTATCAATGCTTGATGAAGCATTGAAAGTTGAGGATGACCTACAAGTTGATGCATCAATTGCAGAACGTCCTAAGACTGTGCGTAGTACTGTTGGACCAAAGATTAAACCAGCTTCAAATAAAAATTACCCAAGAGCACGAGGCCTAATACCAAAATAAAACATTTGGATAATGTTTGATACTTTAAGTTGTGCACCAAATAATGTTGTTAATTTTGTGATGTTTAAATACTAACAGCTACTATAATAAGACTGCATAATTAAATTTATATTCTGCTCACTAAAACTAATAATAAGTACCTAATTATATATTTTTTGCTTTTATATTATATTTCACTCCTAGTCATTTATAAAAAATCTTTATTTTGTTTTAGTTACCTATTTTCTACTTATTATCATTTTGCTTTATAATATATTTATAATATCTAAAAATATATTTTTACATACTACTTGTAAAAGAAGTACTAATCAAAACTAATATAGTCATATTGTCTAGTCTTTCTGCACAATAAATGACATTAATAAATCATATTATTTAATATTATTATTTCATTGGTTTTTTTTTTTTTTATATTAAATATTATTTTGTTCGTCAACATATACATTTTCTAGGCGAGACCCTAAGAGTCTAGTAAAACCAATTGACCCAAACAACTCCAAGTTACAAAATGAATATAACCAGAAAATTGAAGAAAAAAAATCACGTGCAACAAGGCACATTTTTCTTATTAGACATGGACAATATAACCTTAAGGGTGAGACTGATGAAGAAAGGCAGTTGACAGAACTCGGTATGTAATAATATCTATAAATAATTAAATACATTTTATGCATGAAAAGTACATTGAAGTTATGAGCAGTGATATGGTGAAGGGATTTTTAAAAGGTATTTAAATTTTTTAAGATTTTTAATTTAATGATGTTCCTGTTGATTTATTTTAAATTAAATTAAATTTTTAAGATAGTAATTAGTGGGATAAATGGGTATTATATTTTAAATTGTAAACATTTGAACTATATTTTATGTACACCATTTACTACAAGCTTTTTTTTAAAAAAAAAAACCATATTTAACAGTAGTAAATATAGCTTGTGTGTCTACCTAAATAATAGAATTTCTGTTTTTGTAATAGTAAAAATATAATTATATTAACAGTATACAATTTTCCATTTTAAACAGATAATATAGGTGTCTACTTGTATTTTATTTTAGAGTCTGAGTGATGTGAGAAATGTATTGGTTTTACAATGATATTGATTTTTTAAATTTTATACGGCTTATGTTTTCTACCAAAATTATTGCTCCAATAAAAAAAAACAAGAAAATCAAAATTTTCAGTTGCATTTTTAATCTTGTTCTTGACCAAGAAAGTTATTTTTATGATTTTCTTGGTAGTTTTTTTAATAATTGAAAAATAATTAGAAATAACAGGAAAATGTATGAAAATATTATATTCAATTTTGTTTTTTGTTATGCTCCTATTAAAAATATTATTAGAGACTTGAAATTTTAATAGAAAACTTATATTTGCCTTTTCTAGACAAGGTTAAAGTTTCAAAATATTTTGACCATTTTTGAGTTATGTATAAACATTTTAATTTTAGGAGTTTTTAAGTAATTCTTATTTGGTGGGTAAATTTGTTAGACCAAACAAAAATGCTTGAAAATTTAACAACAGGTTCTTAAAAGTAGTACTTCATGGTAAAAAAAAAAAAAAAACTGAATGTAATGTAGAATAAATTTCTTAAATTTTTTAATAACATTTTAAGTATCAAATTTTAACAAAAATCTTATATATCACAATCTTTCTTAACATGTATAACTGAACTACACTCAGAATTGTTTTTCGTTAGCAATGATTAATCACTGTATAGATTGAATTGCCCTCTATATGCTATCGTCCAGACTTCTTACCTACAACAGTGGCCTACCTATCTTGCAAAGTATGTCAGTCTTTTTAACTTTTATTTTTGGGTAAATAATTTAGTATGAATTCTTATTAAACAAGGAACCTTACATAAATGATAAAAAAAATAAAGCAGAGTTTTAGTATAAATATTTATTTACAGTAAGAAATATAATTATAAAATTTAATATGAATGTTTATGTATTAAGTGTATATCATATAGATTAAAGTTTATACTATTATTAAAAATGTGTAACTATTTTAAATTAAACAAATTATTTTTAGGAAGAAGGCAGGCTCTTTATACCGGTGAACGTTTAAGTGTGTTAGATTATCCATGGACATCAATTACACAGTCAACAATGACACGTGCAATGGAGACTTGCTCATTAATACGTAAACATTTACCTGCCGACATACCATTATCATCGACAGATTTGTTAAGAGAAGGAGCACCAGTTCCCCCAGATCCTCCCTCCAAACATTGGAAACCTGATTTATATGTAGGAAACAATATAGCATTAACAATTTTAATATATATTCTTTTAAAATATGTAAGTTATTATTATTTTCTTAGCAGTTTTACCGTGATGGATCTCGAATCGAAGCTGCATTTCGAAAGTTCATGCACAGAGCTCCACCCGATCAAAAAGAAGACTCTTATGAAATAATTGTTTGCCATGCAAATGTTATAAGATATTTTGTTATGAGGTAATTATAATTTCTATTTATTGTTATCTAACAGATTATTTATTTATTTTTTCAATTAATCTTATTTATTTGACTTATTTGATATTGAATTTTGTTTAGTTTCTGTATATTTTGTATTATTGTTATTAGTATACATACTGTTTTTACTGAAATCTTAATATGTATACATTGTGTTACATCTTTTATGTTCCTCTAAATATCTTAGTCCTTAAATTTAAATGTGGTTTTCCGGAAGTTTAGCACCATGATAAATGTATCAAAATAATTAAGATCAAAATAATCAATCCATATCTGGTGATAAAAATAAAGTTTGCTATTCTCAAAAAAATGTGTACAATAAGGGTTAAAAACTGAAAACCATCTCAAAGTGTGTATTTAGGTGACTCCTGAAACACCTCCCGAAAACCCTATTTCAATTTTCTAAGGTCATCGGGTTGAGATATTTAGTGATACCTACATAAAAGATGTACAAACAGTGTATTTGTTATTATCAATCTATTTTTAGTAATATTGTTGATTAATGTTTGACTTAAAAATTTTATATTTTAGAACATTGCAATTGACACCAGAAGCATGGTTACGCTTGGGTTTAGACCATGCTAGCATCACAACATTTTCAATTTATCCTAACGGAAGAGTAGCCTTACGGGGTTATAGTAACTCAGGTTATATGCCTCCAGATGCTATTAGTTCCTGAAAATCAATTTATACATTGTCAAAGGTCAAAGATCATATTACTAAAGGTCGAGTATTAGTAAAAAGGTGATCAAAATATCATCTGATGAAATGTTTTTCCATCAAAAATATATCACTGAACACTCAAATTTTTCACTAATGTTTAAAATCTAATCATAAGGTATATAGGTATACTATATTAGTATAAATATAATATACAGTAAAATTGGGTAACTTTGATAATTTTGTTTGAATTAATTTTTAAAAAAGAAGTCCTTACTTCAAGTTGTACATTGCCAAATTAGGTATACCTGGTTATATTTTAAAAATATTATTTAGTTTTCAAAGTATTGTGGAACCTCTATAAGTCGAAATAAATGCCATTTTCTTGTGAAAACCTCGATTGTTGGAACATAAACAATAGATAACTCAAGCATTTTGTATGGACAAATAATTTTAATAATCGTTTGTCTAATTGGCTTGTGTCCTATAATTAAACCTAATTGTGTTTATTATTGTATTTTTCATTTGATTTATTGTCACTACATTTCGTATTGTACATGTAATTGTACCCTACCATCGTTTGTCGATCGAACAATCAAGTAATGTGAACAATAAAGTGTATTCTGTTCTAAATTTAGTGGAAAATACTATTGATAATAACATGTGCTCTCAAACTAAGTCAAAGCAAGATAAAAAATTATCTATTGTGAAGTTGCAACACTATATACATTTTTTTTTTTTAGTAATAATTGTTTTTATTTATATTAATTATTTTATCACATTTTTAAGATAACAATAATAATAATAATAATACTCACTGTAATTATATGTATGTATAATTAAAAAGTTGTTTAGGATAATGGGGACGGATGTGGCCACTGTTATAGCTAATTTAATGTATATCAGCTGTAAGCACAGATTAACCATTGGTAACGAAAAAACGATTCTGAACAGAGTTCGTTTGATATATGTTATATATATTGGTAAAATAATTACATACACATAAGGTATATATTTCCTTATAGAAGAAGTGCTTTATTGTAAATCTGAGTAAAATTGCTGGTAGTAAAGTTGTCAGAAAAAAAAAAACATTGAACATCATTATTAAACCAATACATTCCTCGTTCCACTTAGAATCTATAACAATAATACGTACATACATTTTAAAAACTTAAGTCAAATTGTTTTCCTAAACCTTTGATAATTCCAAAAAATTTAATTTCCTTTGAATTTCGACTTATCGAGGTTCCACTTCATATATGATTAATATATCAATCTTACACTATATCTGGATTCACTTGTATATTCCTATTTCTTTTGTTTGTTAAATTGATGCTAGTGCATGAAAACCTATCAACCTCAACCCACATATAATTTGGTCTAGTCTTTGAAATTAAAATATAAAATATCCATGTAGTTACTGACAGGATTTTAAAAATAAAAAACATATTTTCCTTTTATTTAACAATTTGAGATAAATAACAGCACATAAGATTGGTTGTATTGATGAAAAATATTATCATGTATCAATAGTTTATCAACTATATTATATATATAAAACTTAATAATTTATGTATTTGTTAAAGTGTAACAATCCAAAAAGATTTAATTAACAATTAAAATAAAAATAAATTTCACCCCCCCCCCACATATTATCAGAGTTGTCTCATTCTACAGTAATCTAATAACTGATTAATCATTTCAAGTATATATATATATATATATTTTGTTTCTGCTAAAAACCCATTTGATCAAATGATTCACTACATTTTCAACTTAATAATTGAAAAACTGAAATATTATCTAATGTTGATATATAGCATTAAGAAATCAATATATTATTTCAATAATTTAAATTATTTTCAGTGTCAGTCAAAAATAATTTTGGGCAGGTACTAATCATTTTTGTTATTAAACTGTATGACTATGGCACTGATTATTAACATGCATTTATTATTTTGTTTTCATAACAAATAGTATTATTTAATTGTTTCGGTTTCGAAATATCACTATTTTTTTTACATTGACTATAGTTTACTTTTATATGTATATATATATATAGACCTAATCTACCCACCAAAATGTATTTCCATAATAATGTGACTATTGTCAGATTATAACAGATTATATGTGCATAGTTTTTGTACTCTGACTAAAGTCAAACTCTTTTAGTCTTTAATTGTAAAATGTCCTGGTGATGTCAAGTCTTCTAAGTACAAATATAATAATATAATATGTGAAGAGGACATCACAATAATTAATACAAATAGAATAATTAAATGTACCTACTTCATTGTGACCTTGTAACTCACAGAATATGTTTATAACGAATAAAATAAAATAATAACATTTGTTGATTTATTTTATTTTTGAATGGAGATAATTCGATCTCAAGATGACACATTTCCAACCACACTATGTATTTTAAGTATACTTAAAGTACATAGTATTTTAATGAATGATGTTCAACAAGTCTTGTGTACCTATGTAGAATAATTATTTATACACTACTGGTGTAAGCAAACACTTTAAAGTTCAAACAGTCATTATTTATTGAATCGATCTTAGTTCGATGGCCTGCAATTAACAAGTTGAAGGAGGGGAATGACATTGTTTGCATAGTTATTTTTATATCTCTGTATCTGTTGGCTCTTATAATATAAGAGCCAAAATATGTTACATACAGATACCATATATCTACCTACTCGAAAACCAAAAACTTAGCGTATAAAATTTCAATGCACCTATCTGTAAGTGAACACGATAATAACATTTTCAGTGTAGTTGATGTTTTAACAAAACAAATATTAAGTATTTAAATGTACAGTTAACGGATCTACGAGAAAGTATGAACTACAAGGAATGTGTAAAGTCATTTTTGTAAATAAGCTCAATTTAGATGTAACAATATCATACATGGTAGGTAACACAGAATTTTATGACGGAACTTTCGATTTACAGTGAGTTTAATCGTATTATTTTTTTTTTTTTAATGCTACTTCATAGGCGTACTCAAGTATGACTTACCTTTATAATACTAAGGAAATATCATTACCTTTAAACCGTAATTAATTGCTAACTTAATGAACGTAGTCGGCTTTACACGTAAGAATCCATTAAATATAAGTGGGCGCTTTTGTATAGTAACGCAGAGTGGTCGTTAAAATATTATGAACTTTATGACCGTAATTAAAAAAAAAGGGAATACAGAAAATCGGTTGATAATTTAAGTGTGTGCTAGGTATTATACACGGCCACAGGTATCTAGTAAAGTCGTTGAATAATGTATTATATGGACTTGACCTGTGTGATAAAAGACTCTTCTCGTTATACCCATGTAATAATATAACCTATAATAAAAAAAAAAAAACAAATTGTTCATCGTTACCGTGGTTCGGTCGCTTAAGATTTTTCAGGACCTTGATTAATCAAACTCGACGCCAACTATAAACAGTATAAACCGCCGCTGGAATTCACCGCTGCACTCTTTTGAGTTTTAATTTTACCGATACACTTCAAGGTAGTTAAAGGTTTAAAAACGGTTTTCTTCTGCTTTGTATATTATACTATATAGGTTACACCTAACCTGTTATGAATTAACTTTCGATCACCTTCTCACAAGCCTCGGCTCATCAGCTGACTACAAGATTTCAGTCGGATACCTACCTGCACGGGGAAAAAAGAAATTTGCAATGCCGAATCGAAAAGAATGGGACCGACGTGGTTTTCAGAGAAAACTAGGTAAGTACCGGATTGTTTTTTTTTTTTCTTTGTTCTCCCCCAAAATTTAAGATGTTCCATTATAGAATGACGGTCCAGTCACCGACGAATCGAACCGCCGGGAAAATAATTTCGAAATTACGAACGTCGCGATGAGGTTTCCGATTTGCAGACCGCGCGCGGTAGGTCTGTAACAGTGTGGGTGGCTTGTAGGCGCGCGTCTGCTGTCGTCGACGTCGTTTGGAATATTATTTCGCTGTTATTTGGAATCCCTTTGCAACGGGCGCCTGTCACGTTGCGCTGAGAAGTACAATAAAAAAAAAAAAAAAAAACATACGAGCCATTTTTGAGCGATCACGGACGTAATTTCGGGAGTTTTTTTTTTCCACGCGATCTCTATTCGGTAGCTCTTTCGATTGAAATCGTCAGACTGCGCGGAAATGTTTTTTTGAAAATTCAACAGGGGGTTCGTCGTCAGGAGGAGTTGTCACTTGACGGCCAACAAGAAACAATCGACTTTAATGTCGTATTTTTTCTATCGCGTACATTTTCACTCTGTACAGTCTGCGTACAACACCGCGAACTAAGGTACCCGTAGCCCTCCCCCCCCTGTTGTACATTTAGAAACGTATCAGGCACTATCGGTTGTTTATCGTAAAACTATTAATCAAGCAGTTACGGTTGAATAGTTAAATCTGCTGTTTACCGATGCGGTCTGAACACGCCACGGCAATCTCGGAATAGACTAGTCCGCGTTATTTGTTGTTGTAAATTATGTCCACTGTTCCTTCTATCGATTGTAAAATGTACAATGTTTTATACCGAACTACCAGTTTTACAGGTGGTATACCCGCCCTTTAAATCAGGTGTGGCAACCGCCACACCTGATATGTAAAGTTCGGCGCCACTGGGTCCGGCAACATGTTTTATTTGAACGGAGTCATTTTCAAAATGTAAAACAATTATTGTCAGATGCTCAAAAATTCAAAAGCTTTCGTAACTCATTTTTTGTCGTTGAAAATATTATTCCCCCCCCCCTGAAAAGCTAGTGGATTATTTGAAGAAAAAAAATCACCAACGCCGCTCCATCCTTGCGAGTACCCAATTGTAATGCCTTATTGTATTTTCCTTTGTAAAATATTTTAATCACTATAGGTATATAATATAAGCGGTGTCGTAACCAATGAGGTTTTGCGTGTTGTGACCTTCCCCCCTATTTCTTTGTATCTTTCACCTACCTATAGGTAATGTTAAGAAACCTGTAGACTTTTAAATGCCTGATTCTCCCCTTATCGATAAATCTTGACTAGGTACGCCACTGTCGTCTACGAATATAAATAAGTAGGTACAGTGCTTGTCCATTGTTTCTTTTTTTTTTCCTAACATCTCTTGTTTTAGGTCACCAATATTCGGTAACCGGTAAACAACTAGGTAGTACAGTTAGTAGTTACTTACTAACCATTAAAAGGGCACCCACATATACTGCGTAGTTATTTACAATTTATCTTGACATCTGATTTATTTTTAGAAATGCAAAACAATTTACATACGATGAGAAATAATCAAATTGTATAATGTTTTCACTTGAGGAAATATTTGTATTACAATATAGTGACAAAATGATTTAAATGGGTACCTAGGTATTTTTGTTTTATTATTATTTTTAAACGTAGTTAACAAATATTTTTTATATAGATAATTTTTTTGTTATAGAAAAAAAAAAAAAAATATGAAACGAACAAGTTAATATTGTAAATAATAGCGGTTGGGTAATTTCCTAGTGTTCCCACACAAAACATAGCAGGTTAGTGAATACACATAATAAATGTAAGTTCTGACACCGGGTGCGTTTAAAAAAAAAAAAATTTGGGGGGTGGGGTAAAGGTTGTACACTTTCATACTTTTATAACAAAGAAGTTTACATACTTTCAATTGTAGAATTATTCATTTTTCATTAAAAATATCAATATTTTATAACATTCATTTTTAGCCTTTTAGGTACTTTTTTTTTATATTCTTTTTTTTAGTGAATACAGCCTAAATGATAACGTAATTCATATTATTGTGATGATAATTCGGACTATACAATGTCGCCGTACTTATCAGTTATAATTTTCTAAAAGTAGGAAAACCACCAAGAATTAGAAATGACAATAATAGGTACCTACATTATACCTATACTATCTAGTAATAAAATAAAAATAAGACCAAAATTGTATTTATCTTCGTCATTGACAGAACCCACTCGTAAAATCTGGAAAAAGGGCAAAAATGTTATTGAAAAAAAACAAAAAACACATCGTCTAATAAAAATTTCCATTTAATTACTTTATAATCGTTAATATTAGACCAATTGACAACTCGCTGTGATAACGTTTTATAACATTGCAATTATTATAATGACGAATTTCTTTGACCTAATATTATAACAAAATGTGATATAAAGGGAATGGCCATGATGTGCTATTGAATTCTACTCAGTGTGCGTGTGAGCGCGCGTTTTTGCTACGTCGCCTGTTATTTGGATTGGAACAGCTCAATGTGGATACATGATCTTCATAATTCAGTGTTGTGTTAATGAGACATCAATGTCAATTGTTGTATCGTTTTACTTACGGATCCCTCTCTGCTGCATAACTCCCGCCGGAAACGCCAAATCAACCCCAGCCTACTGGTGGCTAACCGCTGCTTAATCAGGCCTTGTGTTTGGTAAATGGGAAGGATATTTGTGTTGGTTTTAATTTTTATTCGCGTAGGAATTTACATATTATGTATGTGTTTTTTCGTGTCGGAACTTATTACGTATACATATTGCATACCCATGGCCAATTTTTACTTGTTATATATGTCTCTACAATCACCCAAATAATAATATAGGTAGATAATCGAGTGCCTTTTATCCAAATAGTTTACTGTCTTATTGACAACACGTTTGCTAGGAAAAAACAAACAAAAATAATTGGGATGAAAGCGAAAGACAAGAATACGTTTGTATTTAATTTTTCAGTGAATATCCGCAGAAATTGAGTGGTGTTTTCAGACAAAAGTTTTCTGTCTTTTGTAATGTTTGAACTGAATCTCCACAAGTTTTCACCTTATCATAATCTATTGACACGAGACAGTTTTTATCCCAGTATCATTGGCTTACCTGACGGATTTTTCCCGTAAGCCGAAATTTCCGGCGCGCATAATATCGGTCTCGAGTCGCTTGATTTTCGGATTATTTCCACTGTTTTGTGTAATGCATAGTAGATATGACGGACATTTTCACGCCAAAGTCGCTAAAAGCGAAGCGAGTACATTTACTTACCTGTGAGGTGTCTTTCCGTGTAGGTAAACCGTACACGTGGTTATAACAACCGAATTTAAATAATTAGATGTTGCCGAACCGCTGTTGCATAAATTATTATTACATCGGTTGAGCCACACCGTCGACAATTCGGCGAAGTTATAATAGAGTGTGAATAATATTCTCGCGAGGAAAACGATATTAAAATAATATGCAAATACATATCGACGGAAACAATATATAATAATTATGTTCGTCTTAACATATTACAAGCATGTCACGAAAACACAATAATATTATAAAATTACAATCGCCCGTATACTTGCTTAAATCTTTAGAGCCACAGTCGGGTCCATTTTTTTTTTTTTTTTTTTTTTTTTTTTTTTTTTTTCCAGGAAGTTTTCTTTTTCTAATTGGACACACAGTAAAGTTCATTATCCACCCGCGTTGAGTAAGATTTTATTTACTGTGTGTTTACAGTTAATAGACGGTACTCGTGGGATGAATGGTAAATTATTGAATTGTTAGGTTTTGTAACAAAATATATTAAATTTGTTAAACGAATATATACTCTCACTGGAGGTGAAGGATTAACTGAAGAAAGTCCAAAAGTTAAGGAGAGAGTTTGGTCTGTATAGTCGTGGAGCTTGTTTTAAAGGAGAAGGGAGGGAGTGAACACGCAGTGCTTATTCACTAAAAATAATACTCAGGCCGCCACCGCAGCTGTATAAGAAAACTTTTTTTTTTCTTTTTTAGAATTTCAGTGGATTTTGTAAAATACACTTTATCATTGCCAATAAATTATTTTAAAATAAAATTTCATTATACGAAATTAATTATTAGATATCGGATTTTATGTAATCTCAATAATATGATCAATGGCCATATTGAATAGAATACAAAAATTACTGGATTGATTTTTTATTTTAATAAAATTTAGTACTAGGTATTCGGTTTCATATCTCATAATCGGGCGTTGAAGGCTAAAAATACTATTTGCTTGGTTTTTAATATAAATATGTTAATGATACTTAAAAAAACAGTTCCTCTCCTCCTCTGTTATCTTGTCCTGAACTTCCACGATAATATATCTTATATTATATAGTCGTTATACAATTGAAATTCTGTCTATCTGTCCGCTGTATAAATCTACAGTTTTATTCCGATGTTGATGAAACTTTGTAGACTTCACATTTTATAAACCAAGAGGAAGCAAACAGCGCGATTCTTAGCTTTTTGTCTCGAAATTTGATCCCCGACTGATGCGGTGTTTACGTTTTTTTTTTTTTTTTGTTGATTTATGAGGCGATTTAATTTGGTTGTCACAACCAAGGAATAAGTACTTACCATTTTTAAAAGATAAATTACCGGCAACAACTACGTTTAACTGCGGTAATGCGTTAGGGATAAGGGTTGAAACGGGGAAACACGTTATATTGAATTTCATTTATTGATTTCCGTTTTTTGAAAGGATTGATCGCCGGAAATACCCGCTAATGTTACTAGTATATTAGAAAGGATGATTTTTTTTTTTTTTTCAAAAAACAAAATACCAAAATTAAAATTAAATAAATATAGTTTGTGTATATTATTGTAGGTTTTAATCATAGTAAGTATTATAATATATTTTATATTATCATAAGATATATTTAGTAAGCCAAATTTCGGATAGGTCGCAAAAGATCTGTATCATAGTATAGGTGTATTATATTAGGTAGGCAAGTATATAAGTAATGCATCGTATGTTAGTATACGATAATTGTACTTATTGGATTGGTTTGTAGACCCTGGTGCAAGTTATGTCGTCGACTTTCAGTACCTGAAATCAGACGAAAACATTATAAATTATACATAATAGGTGCATTAATTAGAAATACAAAAGCAGGTACTATAATAATGTTTCGTTGGCGTCATTAGTGACATGGTCGGGACAATTCTAATGTGGTGGAAGAGGGGGCGAATATGGTTTCAATTTGCAATTCTTCTATTCACTTGAGAAAAAGTCAATTATTCATAATAATTAATAAGACGATTGGAAAATTGTATAGGTACCTAATATTATACATTTTGATATTTGAAACGCGCGGTAAATTGCCTATGATATAATTTTTTCCGAAAAGGTTTTTTTTTGATTATTTAATAAATAAACGGCTCAAATATATGAAAAAACCGCACAAATAGATAGCCTATTAATTTGATAACGTTTCGGTGTTGACATTTTCGATTTCCGTCAAACCGGTCGGCAAGATATTTCACGTTTAAATTTAGACTAGGAGGGATAGTAAAGACAGTAGTTTCACTAAAAGATTTCTCATTTCACGAATTGGACTGCAAATTCACCACTTCTGGAGTGTGTATAACATCAATACTACAATAAATTAAATTTCCATCCATACGGCAATGCGAGTTTTTCGTTATGAAATTTCAGGTGTACCAGTTGCTCTAAAATATATCTTTTTTTTTTTTATATACCGATTTCCGCTAAAACTGCCTATAATAAAATGTGCCATTATTGTATACACGACTACACCAGTCGTAAAATAGAGGAAGTAAATTATTGTAAGCAAATGCATGACATTATACGGCGCGGGCGACTGGTGTACTTTTAAAATGTCGAACAAGGCCGTGGACAGCAACTATGTCTATAATAGCTGGTCAACACCCGAAGTTATTTAATTTCTTTTTCAATACCGTTTTGAAAATTACATAAACATATTTTGTTCACCGCATTGAAACAATTGGTAAACCGTTTGATATTCAAATCGGTTATAACTATATGCACATTAATGTATATACACGTAAAAATGAACGATTATTGTTTAAGGGGCAGGCGGGGAGAGGCGAATCGTTTGATAATATTTCGCTACCGGAACGCTCTGCGACGCGTATCTATATATACCTATGTCCTATATTGATATTGGCCAATTATTAGCATGCCTATAACGTTAACGTAAACGTATGCGTGCGCGGTCGATAGTGTAATATAATAGGTAATAATATTCACGCCAATAAAAAATGTAATTATAATAACAACGAGCAATTTTTTTTTTTTCTACGATAACGCGTCGACATTTTATCGTATAGGTACCTCGGTATAATATATCCGTCAACATTATACATTTCGCGAGGTCGGGGGATTTATTTATAAAACTATAACGTTACAGACACGTAGGTATGGATTATTGTTATTAATTTCTTTTTTTTGGAGGGATTCTGACTATCCGCGTAATCGGAGTGACTCTCAAAGTGGAAAAGAAAAATATCGATCTCCCGTGTGTTCGTTTCGAAACGGGACGGGAGTTTAAACATCCAAAACCACCTCTTACCAACGTAATCGTATATGATAACAGGTTTTTGTTTACCATTTTCAATTGGTCCGGCTCGAATTCTCTGAGAATGGTGGTGACGAGTTTGTCGGACTTTTGGGTGTGCAACAGCTTGTTGCCTTCTTGCGTGACGGTCGACTTGACTTTGCGGCCGTCCGGCGTCACTTCGTCGAATTCCTCGCCCAATTTGAACGTGATGGACGTGTTTTTGAACGCCGAGTTCGAAGACAACGTGTACTTGCCGTCGTCGGATTTGGTCAGCTCCACCACCGGGGACACGGTGTTGCCCAATTGACGGGTCAACATGCCAACGCCTGTAATTAATAACAATGCAAACGACATTTAAGAAAATGTATTCACAGTTCCACGAGTTTGTGTTCCGCCTAAAAGGCTGAGACCTGCAATAACCACGGACGAACATATAATTATTCCGTCAAACAGTGACGGATATATCCCGGTTCTAAGGGAGAGGGGATGCGAATTTAAAACATTTAAAATCCAAAGGAGTAAATGGGTGTATTTTCTAAAGTATTAAATTGTTTGCAATAATAAATAGTGGTGACGAAAACCCCTTGGGGTTAGGATAGTATCCAAGTACATAAAATGGCAATACTTGTTAGTAATTTGTGTCTGCAGATACTAAAAATCAATGTAGTAGGTGTCGTATATGCTCGAAGATGCATAAATAGCGAATGCAAAATCGAGTCGAATATGAACAACACATTGGAAACGTGGACAAATAACGGTTCTCACCGTATTATTGTGCCACGAGTACCTGTTTATAGGTTTATTATTGTCACTTTATAGTTTATATACACAAACTATACTTTTGACTAATAGTAACCAATGCGCGTGAGACTTGGTCCACGACAAAAGAAGACAATGCAAGTACTTGTTGTATGAGAACGGAAATTTAAAAAAAAAAAAAAAAACATATACGGACGGGTGTACAACAATGACCTCGGATTGTATGGAAAAATACGCGATGAAAAGCTGTGTTGCCTAAACGCCCTACACGGGAAACCCAATATACAATGCGTTGTATGCTCGCATGTACAAGATGTAAACGATTGGAGTGGTTAGGACGCGTGGTGTACGAAGAACGGAAGTGAATGTATAAAAGAGTGTTCTGACGGGGAAAAATAAACAAGATCATTCGGTGGACCGGCGAGAATCTGCGGCAGACGGAAAGACGCTGTAGAAAAAGATTTACGACACTGACATGGACGAAAGCGCAATAATACACTGGACTTTGGACGGAGAAAGACGTAAGAAAGGAGGTTTATTGTCATGATAATGCGATAAAAAAATCGCGCACATCACAGTAAAAAAAAAAAATACCTTTCTCGGCTACGCTTAGAAATTAAAAAAAAAAAAAAACCGAATGACCGGTAATATAACGATGACTGCACTGACTATATATATATATAGTTTATAATATAATATTATTATGATACGTAGAAAACCTATACGCTTTCTTCGTCCCAGTGAATAAAAAATGCATTTCGCCAGCGATGGGCGACGAGTGCCGATGACCCGTTTTCCGTTCGTTGCGATAGGTTCCGACAACGGTATATAAAATATTGAATATATAACAGAAGAAACTAGTTTTTCGGATTCGGATATCATGTTTCTATATTTCGAAACTGTATAGGTACGTTTAAACGACGTGTATATACGCGCACGAACCGCGTATCGGAAAATAAAAATTGCACCATATTTTTTTCATTAGACATTTTACGTTTACGATTATACCGCGCGGCTTAATCTAGTGTAGTATATTTTAAAACGTCAGTTATTTTGAATATCTATACATTTATCAGCGGCTATTTTTCCAGACTTTTCGTAGTGCACATACGTGTATTTGAGTTTAGTATACACATACGACGTGGACGGAAATTCAAAATTTCGTCATCGTCGAATTTCTATTCAAAAATAAAAAATAATTGTTTTACCCGTGAAAATAAAAATAACAAAATACAGCGGTAACGTAACATTTTAAAGCTATTTGTTTGACAAGTTGAAAAAATACCTGGAAAGTAAATACTTTCCGCGATAATGAGTGTCTAATCGAAAATTAATTACACTCTATACATTAAAAAAAAAAAAAAAAATGTATATATTATTTTTCTTACATCTGCGGAACCTCGCGGCTCGTTTATCATAAACGAGGAGGTGGCAGCTGCACATTTTATTTTTTGGTAGAGCACATTTGGCATTTGGGACCTAGCCACCACTGACAATTATAATATATGTATACAATATTGCATAATACCTACTAAACTTAGCGAAAAATGTAGGTGCTCACGTGTATACATACTACATTATGGTATACGATGTAAACGACTTTTAGTGTAGTTTTTGTCGGGGTAGAGATGCAAATATTTTACGATATTATCGCGGTGCATTATCGTAGTCGAACGTGTGACGAGCCCGTTATAATAATATAGTATTTAGACCGAGCTACAATCTACTAGCTTGGTATAATATTATGTACCGGAACCAGTTTTTCGGTTAACGGTTTATGTTCGTTGATATGTGTATTCGGAAAAAAATATTAATAACACTGGGTCACGGCGGAATATTCAAATTCGTCGTCTTGAAAATATGCGTTTAAAATGGAGAAAACACCACGACTTTCGACGGAAGTGTTGTCTTTGTATACAGCTATTGTATATACTATGTAGGCATGCAAAAAGCTTGTATAGGTCTTATACACGCTCCGATTTGCTGCACAGATTTTTCAATCGATTCCAATACGATTAGTTGGTACACGTCCGTGGCGTTTCTCGCGGCAACAGAAATAATTGAAAAACGACCGTTCCTGTCGCCTAGATAACCCGCAGATACCGATAATAATAATATTCGTTTGTTAGTGAGAGAGTTGTGTTTTTGGTTTTTCAATCGGTTCTGATTGGGAAACAACGTAGGAAATACGAGAAAGCTTACGACGTTAACGGTTAATTTTTTGGCCGAGAAGCGCGTAACAATCCGTACAAACAAATTTTCGTATTTTTTTAACTTTTGTAAGATTGCAGGATAACGTTTGGTTTTATTATGTAAATTATTATTCGTAAACTATTATACGGAATCAAACGGTTAATACGTGAATACAATAATTCATATAATACACACAAGTATTGCTTAAAATGTCGAGTCACAAATTTTTACTCTTTCCGAAATTATATTATACTTTGTACTTTTGAGTGTTAACTATAATTTCACGTCTCGCGATCGAGAAAAAACGCGCGTTCGTTTCGTCGAATATAATAAATGTGATAATGAGTAATAGGTACCCATATGCGTTTACACGAATGTTCGTATAGGTATACATTTGTGTACCTGTTTACGTAAATCGAATAATGGAATATTAAAAAAAAAAATCAAAAATAGAAAAAAAAATACTAGTGAATAATGTATAGTGGTTTTTCTTTCGTGTGCGATCAACGTTCACGTTTTAACGATGCATTAGCATTTCGGGTAAAAATTAAATAACGTGTTCCGTCCCATATGCGTTTCACTTAAAAAAAAAATTAGTATAGACGGCACGCCGCTAAAACATCTGAGAAATCAGTTAAAATGGTACTCCCAAGTCGAGCACTGTGGTGCTAATAGCGGTGTTCTTTATTGGAAAACAATTTTACTGGCCGACATGACTAGATTTGGTGTACCTACTTAATAAGTAGTATATTATAACGGAAATTGCAGAATTTTATCGGTATGGCGAAAATCCTCGATTCGGAAAAGTACTTGACTGGATGAAGAAATTCTACTCGAAACAAATGTTCAATTTATTCGGATATACGCCATTATATACTTGTACGTTATTATAAGTATAAAGTGACGTATTTACGGTGAGAGATTCGGGAGATATGTCTCTTCCTCTGACCTCTTTTCAGTATCCATTAATGTTAATTTATATGACCGTCGATTTTTTAAATTTAAATACTTTATTTTTTAGTCAGAAAAAAAAACTAGTGTGTTAGACACAAGTGCCTATACTTTTAGTTAATAAATCAAAAAAACCCTAACGTATACATTTTCTTGTTTAAAACGAAATCTATTACCGAACCACTGTAATACGAAGAAAGTTAGATTAGTATTACCCGAATAGTAATTAAAGTAGGTAAATAATTACCTAAATACAATTGGATATGTCAATCGATTTCAATAGCAGTTTTAGGGTAGATCAAAGTATAAATTTCTAACGAGAATAAATAAATTAAAAACTTTTTTTCTTATTAACTTGCAGTGTACACGTTACACAATAAGACACAATTTCCAAAATTCATTATCTCCATTCTAGGCAAAATCCCTATTACGCCACTATATAGTATAAATATTACTATAAGGATCAATATTTCCGAGGAAAAAAAATTTGGGGAAATTTGGTTACATTTAAAATTTCCCGAAATGGATGGAAAATTTCCTAATTTGTAAAAACGGATTTCTTCCCTACCTTAAGGCTCGAAAGAGTATTGGAAACTGTCCGATGAATAACGATAATCGATAACATCACATCAATATACTATCGCTTAACGTCTAAATCTCGTGGATTTTATACTTTTAGATAAGATAATGTGAAATATTATTATCTTTATGCATCAATCAGACATTATGATTTGAGTCGCCTAGTACACAAAGGGTATAAATGACATTTTGTTGATTTTGAGAAAGTCAAGTTTAAAGTTATTTGTATTTAATATAAAATTATTATAGTACTTATATATTATGATATCGCCATTTTCTTTGGACTCGAATGTTACAAACACTTGATTTAGACGCTCGGCAGTAGACGCTTGAGTGCGTTAACAGCTGTCGTGAACGCTTGTACTTATTTACTTCTAATCTATTATGGTATTTTCATTTGAAGACTATTTCAATGCGACCGAGTATTTGATGAACGAAATCGTAAAGCGCAAAGGAGGGTAGAGGTAAGGGGTTATACCTCCCCCCCATTGGTTTAAAAATAAAAAAAATATTAGTAATTTAATATCGAAACGCTCATAATATTTCGACCGAGTTACGAGGAAAAACTCGAAGTATAGATTAGAAATCGGCTTTTATTTTTTTAGTCTAGTTGCAGGGTACAGAAGTCGATTTTACGATTCGTTCGCTACGTCCCTTGCTCCCGATGGAAATTCCCGGGCACGTCACTGATAAAGTGTGCATTTCTATGAAGCCCTACGTTCCTATATAACGTTCGCATATTCACCTGTGGATAAAGTCGCCGGCGCACGCCTACCGACCGGACCCGACCGGGTACCTAACCCCCGAAAATAATTTGGGGCTCCAGGCCGACAATAACGGAAATTTCCCGGGAAAACTCTGCTGGCGTTGTTTCAATCCCCGAAAATATTATCGCGCCGTACGAAATGTATACCCGATATGCAAATCGAAAAACGGCGAAAAAACCGGTCGTCTCGTCGAGGTAAGTACGTAGGTACAATATTCACGTACAGCCGAACGCGCGGATCGAGATTCGCCGAGAGCGCGTGTGCGAGTGACCCACTTGGCGGCGGCGGCGGCGGGGCTCTCGGGGGGGGGGGGCGTTTCGGTATACGGGGCGTAGGTTCGTACGATGACCCGGCGGATGAGCGGGCGGGCCGGCTAAATCGTTAAAAAGAGCGCGCCCGAAACGTGACGACGACGCGAACGTACGCGGCGATAGGTATTAAAGTAATACGATAGATAACAATATTATTTTTGCGTATCGTTATCATTGTGAGAGCGTACGGAAGCGAAATCATTTCGTCGGTATCGCGGCGGCCGAGAGAGATCCTACACCCGTTATTCGTTGCACAGCGCGAGGCGTACGAGCATTGCGAATTCGCAGACTCCTTTTTTTTTTTCTTTTTTTTTTCCAAACGAAAAATCGACGAGACTTCGGATGAAAAAGACAAAGGTCCGTCGGCCCGAGGGTGAAAAAAATAACGATAAGCACTCGGTAAGTTCTGGACGAAGAGTGGACCGCAAGTCCCGTCATACAGCGTCAAACGAACTCGTCTTGCGGTTGTTGCGACCCTCGGTTATTCAGTTTTTTCTCGCGGTTTTTCGTATGCTATTTCAAATGTTCGGTCGAGATTATCGTTTCGGAATGAGACCGGATTCCGGTTCACGAAAATACCGAAGTCGCGGTTGTCCATAACGCGGCGCGCGGTTGGCTGAGTGGTATAAAACGAATACGATCTCGGTACAATAACATTACGGTGGCGGTGTGCGATTTCGAGCGATCTAGTTCGTGGCGAATAAACCGTTTTCGACGATATCGTCTACCGCGGCGATGCCGTCCGATAACCGACCGCGAATTTCGACAACCCGCGCGGGAATCAGCAAACGGATATTGTTGAAAAAAAAAAAAAACGCTTTTACCGTGTATTCGGTCGCCGGGGTCGTCGGCGAAATATCACGCGTACGGCAAACGAAACGTTTTGACGGCTGAGTCAAAAAGCGAACCGCGACAAAAACAAAAAAAAAACCACAAAAATCCCATAAGATTAACACAAATATCGCGTACCTAGGCTCCGTTCGGTTGTTGCGACCGGTACGCCCGTGACTTTTAGAGCTGGGCGGTCAATTCGGATTGTACACTCGACGCGAATTGAAGTTTCGCGTAAACTGCGTATACAGAGGCGGGTGCGAGGATCGGGGAGGGGAGGGCAGAGTTACGCCGGGAATTTACAGCCCCTCTCAGAAATGTCGGGACCCAATAGCCGCTGTCTTTGTTTGAACCCCCCCCCCGAAAAATATACGTGAGCGCTCAATGTTGGGTCGGGTTTTTGGGCCGTAGGCGCGGGCCGACTTCATCCACAGGTGAATGCGCGTATGTTCTAGGAACGTAGGGTTTCATAAAAACGCACGCTTCATCAGTGGCGTGCCCGGGAATTTTTATCGGGGCAGGGGACGTAGCGAATAAACCGTAAAATCGTCTTCTCTACCGGGCAAATAGACTTAAGAAAAAATAAATGCCAATTTATAATCAATACGTCGGGCTTTCCCTCGTGACTCGGTCGAAGCGTTACACGCGTTTCGATATTTAATTACTAATAATCGTTTGTGGTTTTAAGCCAACACGGGGGGGGGGGAGTATAACTCCTAACCTACCCTCCTCCACTGCGCTTTACGATTCCGGTAGATCCGTACAGCGGTCTCGAATTAAATATTACAATATATAATACGTAGTAAATGCTAACCGAAAACAAATCGCCCGAATTCAAGCAGGCGGGGATTACGATTTCGGACCCCCGTACATCCCGCTCACCTAACCTTACCTAGTGCTTTCATGTACTGGTCGAAGTTTTCGCTGGAGCTGAGCTTGTATTTCTTGTTCAGAAAATCGTCCATGGCCGCGCGGTTTTGGAATGTATTATTACGGAATTCGAACGGAACAGTAAACGACTTGTTGTCGGCGGCGGCGGCGGCGGTGCAGTGACGGTGTAGGTGTAGTGCGTACGGCCGGTTCGAGTAAAATGCGACGCGCAACACGGCGGCGACGGCGGTACACCGGCTGGAGAACGTACCGCGGCGGCGGATGGGGCCCCCGTTCTGTTCGCCCGCCGGCCCCCTGTTCCGCGACATTTCAACTATTTTTTACATCGTTATTACAATTTTTTCGTTATCTCTTCGACTACATAATGCGCTCTACTCCCGTTGTTACCGCGCAGTAAATTTACGTTATTATTATTACCGCGTCGCGGCCGTGCGGTTTCAACCCGAACGACAATATTATTATTATCGCGTACACAATGGCACCGCATCTATACGATAATGCCGCGGTCGTGGGCCGTAAATAACGCGCGCGATAAATATCCGCCCGGTCGCGCGTTTACGGGCAGGGGGAGATTGGAGAATTTGTATGTTTCGTGATTGATAACATTATAGACCAAAAGCTCTGCTCTCTACAGAGCGTCCCACCAAGATAATACGCCCATTGTAATATATCTCCGGAGATAGTAAAAAGATAATAAAATTCTGTTTGTTTGATACTTTTCACAGGGATAAGGACTACAAATATTTATATTTCAGTTCATTTTTTATGTTTCGGTAAAAATAACTTTTTATTTTATTATTTTCGAAAAACGTGAAGATAGCTATTTCATAGAGTTTATTATTATTATTCTGAAAATTTTGACGTATCAACTTTTTATTTTCAATAAAATTATACAGCAGGTTGTAAACGCATTCGCTAGTTGATCATTATTTTCATAGCCAATAATGACTGTACACTTTTATCTCGGAACTTTAAAAAATTATTACAAATCAGAAATTTAATGAAAATAAAAAGTTGATACGTTAACATTTTCAAACGTATAATAAACTCTATTAAATAGCTATCTTCACATTTTTGAAAAATAATAAAATAAAAAGTTATTTTTTCAAGTTTTTTACAAAGACACAAATAATGAATTAAAATGTAAATATTTGTAATCCTTATCTCTGCGAGTAATAGAAAAAAATATAATTTAATTGTCTTCATTATTTTCGGAAATATTACAATAGGTTCGTGAGACAATATATATAATTACGTATTAGTATTAATTAGCTTTGCCTTTGCTGTCTAGCCCACAGAACAAATGAGATAGTAGAGCCAAATCAACGATTTGTACTACAAAAAAAAAAATTCGAATTTATATTATTATAATAAAACAAACTAAAACAGAATATAATATTAATACTATAAAGCGTTCATTGTAAAAAAAAAAAAAACATTCTATACCCCTTACTCAAGAGATTGGTATTTCCGGCATTTCCGTAAGATGAGATAGAGAAAAAGAAAGAGAGAGAGAGAGAGAGAGAAAACGCGTCTCTTAAAATGAGAATACAGCTTTTCCGTAGATGCTCATGATTCGTGAATCTAAAACCGTTTTTATAATCGTCTGTCAAGTCATTTAAATTAGCTGTGCCGTACAGAATGTCACGAGCGACGTTTTAAAACTCATTAATATTATAATTAAATGTTTACGGTATATCATTATATATAATGAGGAATAATAATTATTATCAAACTTATAACTTACCTCGTAGGTTTTTCGTAACGTAGTAAACAAAATATTATAACGTTCAATTATCGCAAATAATCGTTTGTGTATACTAAACGGGAACATTATAACGTGACCCCGAACCGCGAGTCCAACGTGCTTTCGTTCGCAGGGCGTATACGTATTGTATAAACGTATACGTTTGTGTCCGTAATTATGTCATCAATTTTTACGATTAAGAATATATAACGGAAATTCCCGTCATTTGCTGTTTATTCTTCAAAGGTTCCTTATCCTCCACGCGATTGTGATCGTAGGCGCTCTGCGAATATGTTATCATTTCTCTCTAAATTTCTGTCGGATTCAATCGACTGTCCTACTACACTCCTTTCAGAAATCAATTTTAAAGTGTACCCTCGTAATACTAGATCTACTTGTCCCTGTGTTATTCCCTTTTCCTCTTCTATAACTGTATACACTGAACTCCCAGCTCTATCGTATTATGCGTCTTGGTAAGAGTCATTGCTCTTGCGCTTTTAACCAGGTACCCACCCATAGACTGTTTATCAACTGGGTCTTTTATTGTTGTTATTATTCCCTGTTGTTTCTAATATTATCATATTATGCCATCACTTTATGTTTTTGGGCCTCTGCCTGTAGTGGTATAAAAACAAAATAACGTAATATTATACAAAACGACTACAATGTGTGTTATAATATGACGCTCGTATATTAATACATGATTTCTCCCTCCCCGTTTCATTATATTACATATACGTAAACAGTAGGAGAAGCTCGGAAGTTTTCGGCCCTTCTCGAGCCATCTCGCGATGAGCCCTACCTATAATATTATAATTAATATCGCGTTTAAAACCTATCTGGCTCGAACTCTATAAAATATTTCCGGACTCCATTCACGTTATCTATAAAAAAAATCAAATAAATAAATGATGTACAGCGCGCGGGTCAGGTAAAACACGATTGCGTACATTCGTTAAAGGTGATACTTTTTTAAGCTACACGATTGCGTACGAAGTATTAAGAGGACGTTATACACGCATCTACTGCCTCAGCCCAACTACCGGGTAACATACATAAACAATGATTACACAAAATTAATAAAACTAGCTTAATTTTGATTTTTAGAGTAAAAGTAGCGATTACGAAATTTATAGAGAACAATATTTTGGAGGAAATCACGCGGGGTTTTAGTATTATTCAAAATATACAGCTCAATATAAAAGCTACGAAAACTTTTATTTTTTTTTTTGCTTTTTTAAATAACTGTAACTTTTTTAATAGTTCATAATTCAAAAAACATCGATATCGTTCCCTCCAAAATATTGTTCTCTATAAATTTCATACTCGGTACTTTTACTCTAAAATCAAAATTAAGCTATTTTTGTTCATCCTGCGTAAGCATTGTTTATGTATGCGTTAACCGGTAGTTGGATTGAGACAGTAGATACGGGCAGTGTTGAGCATTATTTAGATAAATTGTCTAAATAAATTACCAGATAAATAATTAATTATCTTTTATCTTATCTAGATAATAAACAAAATTAGTTATCTGATGAATTATCTTGGATAAATAATTGAGTTATCTAACGCAATTTATCTAGATAAATGAATATATTGAACTTGAAACATAAAAACACATGTCTCATTAGTAAACCATCCTTGTACAAATACGGAACAAAATAAAAAATTTAAAGTAATAGGTAATTATATTATTCGGGTCGCTTATTTATGTTATTTCTAAATTCTATATCCTGGCCGATATGGCGATATCTACAGGCTATGATCTAATAGGTTGGTCTAAACGGAGTTAACTGCTTATAGATTTATTTTATAACTATCAAATTAATAAGTAAGTTCAATTTAATATCATAAATGATAAAAAAACCTATACATTGTACCCAACCTTCAAAAATAAACATTAGAATATGGCTAGTATTATTTACTGACTAAAGTAAATAAATATAAAATAGTTATCAATTAATAATAACAATTAAAATTAATCTTAAAATTTGAATGAAATAATATATTCTAAATGATTATAATTATTGAATATTATATACCTATTAGTTATTAGATCAAAGTTAAGTTTATTTTATTTTTTAAGCAGAAATTGACAAAAAAAAAATTATATTAATTAATAAAATTAAAACAATTTTATCTTTTTTTTTATCCAGATAAATAGTGTTTTATCTTTATCTAGATAATTTAGATTTTAATTATCATTTATCCCTATCTTTATAATTAGTATCTAATTATCTTTTATCTTTATTTAGATACATTTTTAGTCATCTTTACGCAACACTGGATGGGGGTATAACGTTCTCTTGAGCGTATTATTGCCAATTTTCATACCAATATATACCACACGATTACACGAATGAAATAGAAAAAAAATGTATAAATACTTTCAATTTTGCGTATTTCTATAGACATTATGCTTTTATTATCTACGTTTATTTATTAATTTTTATTACTGCAAATGGACCCGAAAGCTTTCATAGAACTTATTACGGACAATTTCATAGTGCTCATCTCCCAATACACGTTGTCATTCAAGTAGTAAAAGAAACTCAAATGGAGACAAGGTTGATTACATAATCGATTAATAATGGGAGAACAAAAAAAAAAAAAAAAATGGCAAAAAAGACTTAAATAGAATTCAACATATTATAAATGCTTATTATGATGAATACAAAGTCCATACAAAATGAATTCAATATTTAAAAGTGGTAAAATATAGATGTCAGGGAATTCAAATTTAAATTTATTTAATTTACTATTATTCATAGTTATTCGCATTACTTATATTTTATTATTTTATATCGGTCGATCGCGATTCGTATACAATAATTAAGTAATAAATATACGCTCATTATATCGACGAAGTAAACGTCCAATAATATCTGACCAATTTAAAATATTGTTTACGTAAATGTACGTCCGTTTGTTGTCTAATATCTTATACTGATTTTCTATTGATTGTGTTCCGTCGTAATAATATCGAATATTATACAATAATTAAGCGCCCAGGTATTTAAAATAATAATGTAAACGTCTTATGCAATTGTACACAAATATTATTATTCTCGTACGCAAAACTAATATAGGTATCGAGAAAAAATAATTCAATTTGTAACTAGCCGGGCTAGAGATTTATCGCGCGAAAAACCTACAACTTGAAAACGTGAAAATAGTAAAAATGCGGGAAAGGTTTAAAATTCCCCTTCTCTCCTCTGACGACACTAACTTATTGAGTACACATTTTCAACACTATACACAAACGATTGACGTTTAATAACTTTGTATGTACAATTTTATTTTAAAAGAAATTACTTTGTATACCTAGTAAATTTGCATTCAGCGGGAAAAAAAATAGGTGTTTTGATATCGGAGCGAATTGACCCGCAATCATTAAAATTAATGGCGAGAATATTATCTGTCCCTCTATAATTCATTGTTTTTCGGATTTATTCATTTTTAATACGTATATAATCATTTTTAAATTGCGTGATTTCCTGCACGAACTCTCCCGGAAATCAAAATATCGAAAAAAAATACCGACTTAAGGGCACGTATTTTGTCACAATAATGTGCTTACCTTTAAATTCGTTACCGGGTCAATTCGCTATAATGTCGAAACTAACGGCACACAATTTGTCCTACTGAATGCCAAATTCGCCACGTCTTGCGTTTGTAAGTCGGTGCGGTGTCCGGCGTTTAATTATACACGTGTATATATGTATAAGGCCGAACGTGATATTGGGCAATTTCGAAAAATGCTATTATATTTTTAGGTAGCTATTAAAGAAAATCGTCTTTTTAACAGTTTGACAATTACTGTATTAGTTTTTACGCGTACATCAATTATAAATGTCAATGTTCCGACGATTTCGGAAAGTAGAAAGTAAAATCGGCGTTCATATCATAGGTATATAGGTATCTGGTTTATAGATATTTTGGTGACCGTGATTAATAACGAAAAATAACGAGTTTCGAAAAAAAATAAATGTACACGCGAAAGAACGAAAAACGAAATCGGGTAAAACTATTAGAAAATACGATAGTAGTGAGAGCAAAATAGTATACCGACGACAGTCTATGAGAACGCGACCGCATATTTTTTTTTCCTTTTCGTATTTATATTTTTTTTTTCATTGGGATTTCTGTTATTATTATATTAACTTCGGACTCGGGTAAAACACTTTTTAACAGTGTTCCGAACACGTATGTTCGATTATTACTATATTTTATGCAGCAATGGTATTTTCCATAGTATTCCGAATATTTTGCCAAAAGCATTGGGAATATTTGCGGAGTACAAACTATTAAAAAAAAAAACCGACGTGATTTACTTCTACTGTTTTTTAGACGAGATGAAAATAAGACCGAACTGACTATATTGATGAAACTTGCGGCGCGAAATTCGTCGTACTGAATTTGCACCTATCGCAAGCCCGGATTAAGAGGGGGTCCAGGGAGGGCCACGACCCCCAAGCCACCAGATTCCCAAGGCCTCAGATTTTGCCACAGTATGTTCTTTATACATACATTTAACCGTTAACTTTGTATAGTTTGATATTTTAATATTTTTTTCGTTGCCTATCGAAACCACTGTAGTAACTTTGTTAAAAATAATATATTTAATAATTGAAATAATACTTATGGCTTTTGAATCGAGATCTATAATAATACGATGTCCATGCTATTTATTATTTTTTTTTTTTTAAAACATATTGATTAGTAAAGATTTTAAAAAAAATCTATATCATTAGTCTTTCAACGAGAACCTCGTCTTAATCCGTGCTTGAGTCGGGTCAGTCTATTTAATGTCTAAAGTCAAATACAACGATTATAATATTATAGTTTAGTGAATTTTGTACTTATAAAACAGATAAAAATGTTATTTTTAAATTTCACATTATTTGAACTATATATTATATTTACTATATACTCTTACTATGCTGGGTCTATGATAATATAGGAAATTTTATTATTATTATTGTTAAACGGAATTTAGACTATGCTCTCGTTGCTCTAGTCAAAAGCTTCCGCAGCCGTATAAACCGTAACGATAAATTATTATATCATATTTTTTTATACCGTTTTTTAATAATATACCATACGTTATGTACACCGGGGTACCTATGCGTGTATTATAATTAGAGTAAGTAGCACAGTGCACTACAGATTCAACTACAGGTTACCTATACCACCGTAAACATTAGAATAATCGTATGGTCTCATAGTCCGATACGCGGAAAGCGTTATATTATATTATTATTATATGGTATAGCTACAGATGACTATCGATGAAAAAAAAAAATTTAACAGTTTTTTAATAAATCGTTTCCAAACGATTGTGAATAAACGATACGGAAACGAATCGATTAACCGTTCAAAACGATTCGATATCATGTACACATTGACGAAGATTTATACACGTTATAATAACGTTTTTTTTTAAAAAAAATTAGTCCATCAAGTCGTTGATTTTCCCGACTAAAAACTATAGACATTTGAAGTTAACTGCAATAGATGGTCGTATAAATAATAATAGATACTAAAAAAAAAAAGGTCAAGGGAGAAGATATATCTCCGAATCTCTCCCCGCTCGTTAAACACGCCACTGATTCTGTGCAAAGTCAATATGATAATCGTTTTTCACGCGATGTGTACCTATCTAATTAAATTTTACAAACGTGATTTATAAATCGTTAAATATATTATAATAATAGCGAGTCATCGTAAATTATATAATATTATAGGTGCCATCATATAATAGAATAACGTTTTTATACACTTTCTTTCGTGTAAAAAATTATACGAAAGAAAATCGATTTAGAAATTGTGTATACAAATTCGTATAGAAAACGGCTGCCTGCGCGGATACAATTGAATTAAAACCCGATGAACAACTCGCGTTCGAGACTGCTCGTAATAATTTTATTTATTCAGTTTTCAATTTGCATTTACGATGAAACGTAAATCGAAACTTTTTTTCTCTCTCTTGTCTATATCGTCGTCGTCGCCCGAACACGCGCAGAATTACAATAATAATTTCGAAACGAATCTCTGGCGAGAGAAATAATACGGAATCTTTGTGAAATTTAGTACAGATACTATAATATTATAATTAAGTTCTTATATAATGTATTAGTATATGTTACGGCTAACTTTGAAAATCGGATAGTGTCGACTTTTCGTTCGGTAAATTCGATTTTTCGCTGTTAGTTTCAAAATTAGAGTGGGTTGGCCTGTTATCAGACTTAAAGGCGAGAATATTGTCTGTGGTTTGTAGATTGATTTTTTTTTTCGATATTCTGATTTTCTAACGAGATACGAGAACGTGAAGTATTACAATTTAAAAATCGTTCTATTTCGCCGAAAAATTAAAATATTGGAAAAAACCGACATACAAACACGGAAAATGTTCGCGTCTCTAAATTTGATAACTGGCCAATTCGCTCTAACATTAAAACTAACAGCACAAAATCGTTTCTACCGAACGGAAATTTGACGTTATCTATTTTTAAATATTAGCTGTAACGTGCACATCAAATTATCAAATCACCACTGTTTATATAGTTTCATAATTACATAATTATTCTGACGACAAACGCGTTTAGATAGTGAGACGAGTCAATGTCATGACCGTTCCGACGCTAAAATATAATAATATTGTTACAGTCGTTGATTTTATACCCAACCTTTATAAAGTAAATATCAACAGGCGCGTAGCCAAGATTTTTTTAGGGGGGGGAGAGTCCAAACATAAAATGTATTACCAACTATCAATAATTGTCTGGGGAAAAAAAAAATTTAAACGTAATAGATAGAAAATCAACGTACTATATCTGATATTTTGGTGAAAATCTTAAAATTTTTTGGAGGGGGATCCAGACTCCATGGACCACCCTGTTTACATGTTTGGGTATCAACTAAATTATTGAATTTATTAAACAACGTCGGCCCGTGATATAATACTTTTCGGACATTTATGAAAATCGATAGTGTCAAAGATAAATCGACTATAATTTTATTCTTGTTGACTTGATGTAATACTATAGGAAAATACTCGGGTGCGCGTTAATTTAATGTTTAAACGAATTATTAAACGGTGCATCGATATTGAACACGATTAAAACGATTAAAATTAATTATATTTTCAATATGCCGAAAGAATACGATTATAAATAATATCTTGTTTGAAAACAATTTCTATACAATGTATAGTAGAAGTATCATGTACGATAATAATATACAGACAGATGGTACGTCGAATACCTATGTTTATTATTGAAATGTTCGATCGATTTTAAATTTTCAACTAAAACCGCGGACTCGAAACCGATTATATAGTAATCAGATGGAGGGGTAGCCGGGGCTGTATCCCTAGGGCTGGGGCCTCAAAAAGAGCCCGGGCCCGATCAAAGCAACCGGGTTCTATATTTTACATAATTTTCACATGCAACATAAAAACTGTTTGTACTTTAATTTCATAATATTTTACTTAAAAAATCAATAAAATGCGTTATGTTAAAAATATAATGATAACTTTGTACCGTATTATACGTGTCAGTAACAATATCGTGATTTTTCTTTTGACTATCTCGTACCTCAACTAATGGTTGGCCTTCCTTGAATGGTGAACCTAACCTTATTTTCGTTACACACGTTTTAACGAACGAAGTCAAATGTTTAAGCGGTAAGTTTAATATTCGACATTGGGTGGGATTGTTTTGTCCCTTAATTTCTTTCTGCGGCCCTCATTGTAACGTATTAAACAGATCGAATAAATTGAAATCTAACCTTAATGTCAATTGTTAAGATTAAAATACCCGGATGTGCCGTCTGTGTCTCACAACCGCGCGACATATTATTCAACAGGGACGATTTCGGTGCCGTTAGTTTTAATTAACTCGAATTATAAGACTCGGAGACAATTTATCTTTCATCCGTGTCGTGTGGTCGGGGTTTTTTTTTGTCGTGATTTTAATTTTCCCGCGACATTTCAAAAACGATTATAATAATATGTCGGTTAAAAATTAAAACGACGCCGACAACAAGGTTCGCCAAAATTCAATAGTATGTCGCGCTATCGTAACGACGCTTTAGTCGGTCGCGATTAAAATTAATTTCGTTTCGTAATTTTAATCGACGTACCGAAACCATACGCGATACCTAATAATATTTCGTTTAAAAACGATTTCTGTACCGTAGTATAGAGAATATTACCCGGTGTAGGTACGATAATAATAATTATTAATTGAATCGATGCGTGCAAAAAGGTACCCTAGATTTTTGGCTTCAACGACGGATTTTGAATCCTTCGGGAGGCGTTTATGCGTCGTTTTGTACAGAAACGGACCCTACGAGTTGCGATCTCGTGTTTGACACCTATTGGGCCAGAAACCGGCCTTTTATACTCAAACAACTGGTCGGGGTTTTTTTTTTTTAATTTTCTCAAAACGGAATTCAATCGAACATTTTTGCACGGACCGGATCGAATAATCGAACGACTATCCGACCGATTTTGAACAGTCGTACTGTCGACCAAAACCGTCGCGTCGTCTCGGAACCGATTTACATCGTCAACGTCAATCGCGCAGTCGATTATGTCGACAACGGCACGCGGACTTACCTATGGCTTTCATGTATTCGTCGAATTTGTCGCTGCTCTCCAGCTTGTATTTTTTGTCGAAAATCAAAGACATCGTGGACGGAGAGACGAAAAAAAAACTCGCGAATTGATATTACTATACCGTTTTTGTATAGGCTGCGGCCGAAAACGTTCGTGTAGTGTCGGACGTGGACTGAACGGCGTACGGGTACCGCGCGTATATTTATAGTCCGGCCGACGACGGACCGTACCGACCGTTATTGTTGTTACGCTGTACGGCGGCGGCGTACAATAATTTATTATTATTATTGTAAACGTCCACGAGCGTCGTACACCTCGGCCGCGGAGAATTTCGATATTGTTACCGTGCAATTACCGTACAATTACCGTACTGCCCGTCGTAACGTACGTGCGCGAGGTTCGCCGGCGGCGCGTCCTTGGCGGCCGATTAAAACCGATCGACGGGCGCGCGCACCGGTCACGTCGCCACGCCGTCGTCGAGGCGGGCGAACGGGCCGTGTTAACTCGTGACATAATATGTATTTCCGTTGCCCGTATATCCGAACGACATTTCATAATCCCCCGTCGACTCGAAAGCGTCCCAAGAACATTCCACGGCCGTGTTGGTGTGTTACTCTTTGAAAATTCCCCCTTGTTCTTCCCGCGATTGTGCGCCCGTCTTATCTTCTCTAGCTGACCGCCTTTACTCTCATAACATTTCCTAGCATATCTCGTCTCTTCCGCTATTGATTCTATTCTTTCTCTTGTCAATTTTAGATTATGATTGGATCGAAGAATGCATTGGTTTTACAATGATGCTTACTTTTTTTTTTGCGGACAACTTTTCTACCGGCAATTTTGTTCCGATTTGCAATCATTGCACTTTTTCTGAAATTACATCTGACTGGGGAGGTACTTTAAGGAGATAATTTTTTGATTTTCCCAAGAGTTTTCCTAATGAACGGGGAAAACACGTGAAAACCAGGAAAACCCGTAGGAAAAACGGGAAAATAGTTACAATGTAAAACAAACATTATTATTATTTGACCATAATGTGACATTGTAATATTGTTGAAAAAGCAATACTATTAACCGAACTCCGTTCAGAATCGTTTTTCGTTAGCAATGGTTAATCGCTGCGTACAGATGTACATTCAATGTTTCTCTCACCCACCTATAACAGTGGTCCACCCACGCACAAAGTGTGTCCGTCTTTTTTTATAGTGCCTTCGCGTCTTTCTCGCTGTAGAACTCTTTTTCGCGTTACTCCAATGTTTCCAATTACCTGAATTATGCGATTAGCTATAATAACAAGAACCTCTTTTTTTCTCGTGCATATAAATCCGTGGTTGTTAATAGCTTTTAAGCCTAATTGTTGTTAATCTTGTTATTAATTTTATACGTATATCGCAATCACTATGGGCGCAAGTCCATTTTGTTCACAATATAAACGAATAAAATAATTTTATTTCCGTGGACGATAATACTGTTTGTTATAATTGTTATCGACGTTGCGTATGGCGTATCGTGCGTCACGGCAAATCCGCTGAACCCGCGCGGAGTACGAGCTACACCCAGTGGCGGATTTACGGGGATGAGGGGATCCTGGGGGGTCTGCCCCCCCCCCAACACACAGATATAATTTCAATAAAACATCGTCAAAATAAAGGGGCATCTATTAATTTAGATACCTTTTAAATACATATGATTTTACAGGACCCCTCCCAGAAAAATATTAAAAATCCACTATTAGCTACACCGAAAAAATAATGTCACTTCGTGTTTTCAACTCGAATATTCGCTCCGATCGAAAAGTGTTCGTTCAAGAGTTTCTCTTGCAACACGCCGAGTTCAGTGGATATTTTATAATATTACGCGGTTCGCTTTTTCACAAACACCCGTAAGTAGGTATTTTTCGAGTCGTAGATCAGCAGGCGACATCTAAATCCCATCTTCCGAACCCATCTAAACTATTCTTCAAGGGATACGGAGGGTAAATCTCACATTTTATTTCATATGTTTGGCGGCTGAAATCTGAAATCTTGTAATTACCGGATCTTCAATCGCAGTCTCGTCGGATGACGTTTGCTCCGATCAAAAACTCCATAGATTTTTTATAGATACGATTATAACGTAAATTTTCCCGGGTTTTCTCAATCGTCAGTAAAACTACAAAGGAAATACAAAAAAAACGACCTATTTAATGCGCCAATTAGACGAAATGTTCTTTTAGAAACTATCCCTAAAATCGACGGTCGGAACAAGAATTCCGGTATAAAAGTTGATCATAGACAGAAAAAAAAATATAAAATATACCGCCGAATAATGCCAAATATCTGAGTAACATTTCGCGTTACGCTAAGAACCTAAAATAAAAACTAAAACACTAAAAATAAATAATAATACCTAGTAATATAATTTTCAAGTTACCTCAAAATGGTTTGTACTCTTTAATGAGTACGAAGTGTATAGTGTTTTTGATAATTAAACTCATTTATTAAGTATGTCATGAAGATTAAATTCTTTACTTCGGTTCGTAGATAATTCCGTATTATTTTTAATGAACGCTATTGGTACCTGCACTTGCCCGCGATACCTGTATAGTTAGTAATTATTACAATTCATGTAATATACATTCGTAATAATTATACAATTATTTTTCCTTCTTATTCTACGCGTAATGATTGAACCCGTGTTTATTTTAAATAAAAACGTTAACAATTAATTATTTTTCGACCGCATATTTTAACGGTTTTTGCCATTCCTTAAGTTTATATCTTCTCTGGTATAAAAAATAATATTTTATTGCATTTTTTTTTTTCAATTTTGTAACTTTATTTCCACAAGTATACTAATATCATTATAACAAGGTTTTCATCAATAACACGAGTATTATTGTCATCTAGTATAATATAATAGTACTTATACGTCTTGTAATCGATATGTTATTTGTTATAGCTTTTGGTTTTTTTTTTCTTCTGCGTATACCAGCTCTCTTGGCTAGTATAAGTTTTTTAAATTTTAAAATATAACATTCGAAATAACAAACAAAAAATGAAAATAATGAAAATTGCGATACGAAAATAAAACGTACAAGATTGTTATGTGTGAGCGTTATCGTTATAATATTATCGGAGGGGAAGGAATGAAAGGATCCCTCGAGAATTGTGCATGTGCATTCGCCAATTCAATGATGTGACCATGAAATCGCCGTAAATATTACGCAATTTGATGTTTACAATAAACAAACGATGATGTGAAATGTTCGCGTGTAAATAATTAGATTATATTTTCAAGTAATTTGAATCCATCTAATGAGGAAATATGCGTTATATAGAAAAGCGATTTGGTATTACGAACGCAAACTATTTTTTACAAAATGCACATATATATTTAGAAATAAAATTAATGACATCGGCAAGTACCCGAAGTACATATACTACAGCCGGTAAGTTAAACTATCGATAATTGAAATAGTTGCAAAAGCAATAGGTACCGAACGATGTTAAAATCTCGTTCATACTTATGTAATATAATAATAAATATATCGATTATAAAATTGAATTTCAAATTCAAGTATATAGGTATATGTCGATAAATCGGTGTAACATATTTTATCTATCGCGTTTATTTCTCGAGTAGATATTTTTTTCCTACAATATTATTTTGTTTGCATGGATTATGGATTGTGCAGTCTTAGAATATTTTCAATACTGTATACAGTTTATAAAAACGGCAATAATATATTCATCGGATTATTATTCGAAACATAAAACACTCGTATATATTATGTGCAATTAGGTATATATTATATATTATTAAAAAACCGAAAAAAAAATCATGACTATGCGTATTATCATTTCTTAAAGGGGTCATAATTTAAACATATACAACATATTATAATATACAACAGACATTTTTTTTCAGAGTTTCATTTATGATTTTACTACACGGTTTGATTTAAGACTCCGGTCGACTTTTATTACATTTTTAAGTATTGTACAATGTACATAATATAGTTATTATCGCCATTATTTTATTGGTATAAGTAGGTACTATTACAATATAAAATTCAATTGATTGAAATAATAATGAAAATCATATTTGATTAAACTGCACTATTAGAACATCAACAAATTCATCTCATATTATATTATTTCGCATTTTAGTATTTTGATAATCCGGAACGTAAGAATGCGGAATGTAATATTCAGGAAAAATATAAATGGTTTCGAAAATATTTTCATTAGTATTTATCGATCCAGATAATTAGTAATTATATTCCGGAAAATTATGGCCTATCTAAATTGTCTATTTTGTCATGCGGTCGACAATAATATCAACGGTGTTATCACGAAATATTCTATGGTAATTTTGCTATAGATTACATTACCAAAGGGATAAAGTTATATTAAACTCAAAACGCGAAAGTGGGACAGTTAAATTTCGGAAAAGTGGGCAAAATAGTCGGAGAGGGATTGAGCCTTCTATTTATGCGGATAGCGGGTCGCGAAATATGCGGGGAAAAAGTGTTTAAAATGTGAAATGACGTTCTCGTTTCGAAATATTTATGAACGATTGGATTCAACTTAATTTCGGAATTCTGCATTCCGAAATATTACGGTCCGTGATTTAATTTCCGGATTCTTGAGGTCCGGGAAATTACTGTCCGGATTTTTAAATTCCGGGTTTTTATCAATCCGGAAAATGATGACCTTTCATAATTGATAAATCTGTATATAAAAAAAATAAAATAAATAAATCAATATACACAGAGTATTATAATATAATCTATAGTATTATAATCTTATTGCTCCACTAGAATTCAAAAATCTTTCTATTGTAAAATAAACTATATTTAAACGATAGTATTTTAATGATAAATCGAATTTTTTAATATTTGTCTGAAATAATATTAATTCATTTATCTATTGATTTACGTTATGTTTGAAATATATTATTATTATTATTATATATATATATATAGACTATAATGACAGGCGGAAAAAAACCCATAGAAAAAAATAAGCTCATGCGAGTGTCATGTAATTGCCCTGTAGTAATATAATATTTTATAATTAAATATTTAATTGTTTATACACTGTACCATAGAATGGAAGTAAAATATTAAAATGATAAATTAAAAAAGCAAATTATAATGGTATCTACATAGTATACAGATAATCATCATA